GCACGACAGTTAGAAAAAAGACAAGATGAAGCAAGAGACAAGATTCTAAAATCAATAATGTTTGGGCATGCACCAATCAAATAAATATTGATAATTAATTTTATCAATATCTATTTTTTTTTTTTACTTTATGCTATAAAACCCATATGGTAAACTTTCTATGTTATTTAAGTAATACCTTTTATTATCATAACTGCTTAGGGCTTGTTTTGTTTGTTTTATGCTATATATCTGATGATTTTTTGAACGTATGCTGTTAAATGTTACGCTGTTATCTATACATTCATTGTTTAAGGTGTCTTCGTATCTTTTATAATTGAATTCTTTCTTAACTTTATGTTTTACTATGCCTTTGCTTTTCTTTTCTTCCTTCTGTTCATTATGTATTTTGAACGCATAAGATTTAGGCTTTAATCCTATGAAGCTTGTTATGATCTTGCCGTCGCATTCATCCTTGAACTTTCCTAAAACTTTCTTGTTTTTCGGGTCATAGCATTTATGATTTTTATCATAACCGCTAAAGTCCATGTGATTACTTATTTCTTGGAAGTCTGCATATATATCATCTGTTTTAGTATGTATGACGAAGCTGTCAGTATCAGTATATATTAATCTAATGTTTTCTTTGTATTTCTTTTTAAGAACGTCATAATAAAACGAATACATATGTAACTTGGATAAGTCTAAAATACACATACCCGCATATATTGGTTTGTTTAATGTTACTGTATGTTTTAGCTTTTCAACTCCTACGAGGTTTTCATTAATTATATGTCTATGTTTAAATGTAGGACTATTGACACATTTTTGATAACGTTTAGGTGTATTAACTAATTCAAAATCTATATGATTCCTTACGTTTTCCATCGTTTTACCATACACCGCGTTATTCATTAATTTATACATATCTTTTTCAAAATCTGATGTTGCTTGTTTTCTTTTGTTAGTGTTAAAATCAATCCATGGTTTTAACCATGTCTTCTGTTTAAAAGATATTGTTCTCCAAACGCGTTTGATTTTCAAGCCTTGCTTGAGATAATACTGTAAAATCTTAACATGACATACATATCTCTGTTTATCATATACATTTAAAATTAGCTTGTTTGTTTTTTCATCTGTAGGCTCTTTATTGTGATTATATGATTTATATATTTCCTTCTGTGTTTCCGATAACATGTCTGCGGTAACATTCATTATTTGCGGTGCTAATGGATAATCCTTATGTTTCTCATGGATTTCGTCGGGATACTCTAAATCAACATCTACAATAAAACCAAGAGAACCATCAGTATAATTAATTATTTCTTCTTCTGTTAGGGGTTTTTCTTCAAATTTAATATCTTTGTATGGTAACTTTTGACACATGGCTAAACCGTATAAGTTATTAGCATCTAAATAAGTAATATATGATGATTCCTTAGATTTATCATAATCTTCACCCATGTATTTATTGTTTGCGTCTGCTTTTCTTAATGATGTTTGACACATTCCCCCGCGAAGCCCTTTTTCAAACATTTTATAAATCTCTTCATCTTGAACGAGTTGTAAGCAAACGCCTGTCTTTAAAAGCATCGCGTCCCAACTAAAATTAGGTAATGTATAATAATGTGCTGGGTCTAAGCCGTAATCTTCTAAACATTTAGTTCTAAAATTTTCAAAGACGTCTGTTAATAAAAACACATCGGTTTGTAAATATAAGTCGTGGTATTCCCCTAAGTCTTTTATGTTAAAATGTTTCCATATGTGTTTTGCTCTGTCATATTCTTTTTGTTCTATATTTTGTTCTGTAAGTTGGCTATAAAAATCTTCTATTGATGGTAAGGATGTTTCTTTAAATTTGTTAAAATCTGTGAAGTAATCATAAGGATATACACCCTTATCTGTTAATAAGTCTAAATCTTCATCTGATTTTATGTATTTGCTCGTTTTGCTGAACTTGAAGTTTTCTGTCCAATTGTCGCGCTTATCGTTTTCTTCATATTTTGTTAGCTTAACAAGCTTATCTAAGGAAGAAGATAAGAAACTGAACGTATCTTTAAACTCAAGCTCTTTAAGACAAAAGGTAATAAACTTTTCGCTGTTTTGTGCAATTACGTTTATTTCATCTTTTTCTGTGTCTAACTTATCTAAGTTGGATATAATTAAATGTGCATCATAATTCTTAAGATTGTGAAAGAAAACTGGGATTTTAAAATCTTTAAAACAATAATCAAGATTACATTTTAAATGTGCTGGTCCTCTATATTGTCCTGTAAAATGACAATGGTCGCGAACCTTCTTTGTTCCTTGTTTTTTATTATCAAAACAACCGTTGCAAATAAAACACCTTTTGGCTTCGTCGTGTTCTTTTTGTTCTTGTTCTGTTAAGTCATTCATGGGTAAAGGATGTTTTATTACATACATTATTTCTTTTCTTATCTCATTCATGGTTTCGCAGAATTTGTTCATGCAATCTTCACCTCTGTATAAGTATGGCTTACATTCATTGGTTATCGAATTAACAACGTTTAGCATAAAACCCGATGGTTTATGTTCCTGATAAGTGCCTTTTATACCTTCATTTGTTTGTGTAGTTAAACATTCAAAATCACCATAAATAACATATGGGCACTTAAGCTTTTTATAGTGGTTCTTGAAGAATGTTTTATCCTTTTCTGGCATCTCTACGCTTTGAATGTTATTTGCCATGCATCCTTTTGTGATATGTTGTGTTAATAAGGTTTCTTTCTGAAAGCCTTTTTGACAATATTGACAATGAAAAAGTTTTCTTTGGTGATTGTTCGTTTGGGCACTCATTAACCTTGAATAGTCCTTTATCAATACATAATGACTTTTATCATCCTTTTCTAAACGTAGTAAATTTACATGACATGTTGGTTTTAATTTTTTTGTTATTCTGTCTGCCCTTATTTTTTGTGTTATCTCGTCTATAACATAAACATTTATTGAAATACTACCTTCATTAATCTCTTCAAAATAATCTATATCATCATTAGAAGCTGGAAAATTAACATCATCCCATTTCAAAAAAGAATCATTGTTTTTTAGCTTATTATAATGATACATTCTTTCGGGATTGTGATTTTTAAAGATGTTGTAAAAATAGCATTGAACGCAATACTTGAAACAATAATCGTCTTCGTTTTTAATGTTGATACATGCCCTTTTTAATAATATCCACCGTGGTAATTCGATATAAGACCCTGCCCTTGTAGGGTCATATTTGTCATAATGGATTGTTATTTTCATTATCTTTTTTATTGTTAATCCTGAACGTTTTAATTGTGAGTTTTCTATTTGTTCTTCAATGTCGCCTGCCATGTTGTTTATGGCTTTGTTTAAATCTTCTTCGTTCAATATATTGTATCTTCTGCTTCTTATTGTGTGTCTTACTTCCGCAGCTTCTGGGTGATTGAATGCGACATCTACCTCTATTAATACTTTCATTTGTTTTTCTTTTTTCAAATAATCATTTAATCTTTCTTTTTGATATTTTAAATACGATAAACCACGATAACCGTTTAAATGAATGTTAGAAATTGAATATGTGTTCGCGTATCTTTTTAATGCTTGTCTTTCGTCTGTGATTGTTGCTTTTCTTCTTATTGCATATGATTTAATAGCTTGTCTCGTTTTTGCTTGTTGTCCTGCTCTATGTAATATCTCATAACGTTTAAAACCCTGTGTATTAGAAATTGATTGTAATTTTTTGGTTAATTTTGATGAAAACGGCTCTTGTTTATTATATCTGTATTCATTACCATTAATTACAACTTTTTTTAATTCTCTATTTCCTCTCTTTGGTATTTTACCGATATCACTGCTTAATACATACTTCATTACATTACTTAACTGGGGTTCTGACGCTTCTGCCATATACCTATAAACTCTAAGGCTGTTCTCTCTTTAAGTCCTTTTGGGTAGCGTTTTTTCTGGGTTTGGGTTGGGTTTTGGCACTGTGGGGAAAGCCACCAAAAAACCCACCATTCCACCGCTGGCAAGGCTGGGAGTGCGAAGCACAATAAATAACCAAATTCCTAAACCATCCCCAAAAAATAAAATCTTTGAAAAAAGGAGCTCTTTTTACGCGACGGGGAAGACAGGCATAAAAAACAAAAAAAAAGATGGGGTGAGCTCCTTTTTTACAATCGTCACTAACCTAAACCAATCCACAACAACCCCGAACGCTAAACCACTAAAACCCTGAACACTAAACCAAGCGGAGGAGGACGCACCGATGCATCGAAGTCGTTGTAGCGAGAGTTGTTGATGAAGAGCGCGACCTGTCATGATTTCCGTCAAAGTTTTCTTTATCTATTAAAAAGTGCATCGGACGAAGTCGGGGACTATTGATTTTATTTTTTCGCGGTCTATCATATTTATTATTTTTAGTATTTTTATTATATTTTGTATGGGATTTACCTATAGTTTTATAGCGACCCGTATTTTTCTAAATACTATATGCTTTGATTTTTTATTTATTGGTTTAGGGGTTTAGGATTAAGGGGAAGCGCAAAGCACTGCACAAACTGCTGCAACTGGTCGCAAATCTGCTGGTGCATCGCTCAGACACCGAAGACTTTTGCACACTCACTCAGTCACAGGCGCACTTGGCAAGTTTGCGATGCTGTTTTGGGTACAATCAATGCGGATTTCTGCATGCATTATGCTGTTTTGGGCATAAATATGCGGATTTGGGCATAATCAATGCGGATTTCTGCATGCATTATGCGGATTTGGGCATCCCATAACAGCGTTCCGCATTGGTCATGTGTGCTTTCTCAGCAATCTATCAGGCATTCATGGTCGTGTCGGGAGCGGGATAGCCACTCGACGGCATAGCTTCCTTCACAGCAATGACGATGTCGAGTGCCTTCTTGAACTCTGTCATGCGAAACTCCCCTACCGTGCTGGTGCAATCGTTGTTTGCCGACTGCACCACATTTTCCTCAATCTTCTTTTTTAGCATCGTCAGCTCCTCAATCATACTATCCACCAAGGCGTAGTTCTCGGAAAAGGAAGCGAGAGCCGAGACTTTTTTCGGATTGTTCGCCTTGTGATGCTCAAGCTGGGCGCGATACTCTTTGAGGTCAGCGATGCTCATTGTGTTCAAGATGTCCTTCAGCTTGGGGGCTGTGGCACTACGCGACTGCACCATCAAGTCATAGCACTTTTTGAAGCCGGTCTCGTCAAGGGCGACGGTGTGCTTTTTCTTCAAGGCATCCTTCTTGACGGGAGCACCTCCACGAAGCGTTGGGCGAAGCTCAAGCTTAGTGTTGGAAACCACACATGACTGAATTGATTCGTAGGCCGTGACCACGCTGTGGCCACAGAATATCATATAATCAACGTCCTTCATTTGACTCTGGAAAGACCCAGCGCGGATGCCCGTCTGTTTCTCAAGAACCGCAGAGAGCTTATCGAAGGTTGCACTTTTGGCATAGTGGTAGACGAACCCTTGAACAGGCGCGTTCTTGTCCAACTGCTTACAGTAGAGCTCGACGTCCCCGACAGTGCACTTGTTCGGCTTGTTCAACTCCTTGAGGTTGATACGGTTAAACTCGGCACACATTGCCTCGACGGTTGGGAAGCTTGTCTGCACGTCGTCGTCTTCTTCAGCTTCGCTTTCATCACTTTCGCCCTGTGAGCTGTCGTCATCAGAGCTTTCGGCATTCGCCTCGGCCTTTGCATAGTCGTATGTGTCGTGCTCAATGATCATCAAGCACATCTTCTCATAGTCCTTTGCCTCGTCGCGAAGGAACTCTTTCATTGTCCTCTCCTTCATCTGCGACGACCAACCAAAAAAGCAACAATCCGTGTCGTTGTAGCCAGCGTTCTTGGACTCACACAGAATGATGACTGGACGCGCAATGTCTAAGTCACCATACGCGCTGACATACTTTGCGACGATTGTCTCCTGTGTGTCCTCGAAGCCCACAAACACGGAGCGGTCACAAGTACCATAGGCCGTACCACCAATGACAATTGGGATTTCCATGCCCTCGTTGTCGTTGTCTGTAGGGCGAGTGTAGTCCATGATTGCCATCAGGTCGGGTTCCTGAAACTTGCCCTCTTGGATGTTCATCAAAAGAAGCTCAAACGCCTTCGTTGGCTTCACCAAAACGTCTTTGAGCTCATCCACGCACTCCTTGTTGAGCACGCGAAAGAGGAACCCCTTCTCGGGGTCAGAGCACTGCCCGACAAACATCTCCATCAACGTAGTAGTCTTTGCCATAGCTTCAACTACCAAAGAGCGCGAACTTTTTGCTTTGCTACAGGTTGGGATTGCTAAAATCCCGTTTGAAAGGAAACATTGCCGTGACCATGTGCATTTAGTGGTTTTTGCTCTCAACATGCTTCAAGCAACTGCACTCGCAAAGCACTCTGTTGTCGTAACCCCTAAACATGCAAGGCGTGCCTTCCGAAGATGTTCGGCTCGTCGTCCAAAAAAGCGGAAGAGGGAGCTTGCCCCTACTATAAGGCTTATTGTTATTCTTGGGTTTTGGGCTTGGGATTTTAGATTGAAAAACCATGCTAAAAGGACTAACTATAACACGGGAAGCCCCAGAAGCTTAAAAAGTTGGTAAAAGACAAGAACGAAGAAGGGGAGAGAATAGACAATAATATAGGTTTATTCTTGCTATAAATCATAACAAGAACAAACATTAAAACAACGATATAGGAAGGACTTCAAGAATATAGGAACGCATAAGGTGGAGATGTTGAAATTTGGGAACGTTGTTATTTGTAGGATTTAAGGAATGAATTAGGTAGCTTGTCCTCAGAATCGGCCTTCGATAATGGATGAGGTGCGATGTGAGAGAAAACGAATGAGGGGATGGTAAAAAGTTGGGGACAAAAAAATGAAAAAAATCGGCGTGAATTATCGGGGAAATGGGCTTAGGAAATGCTAAAGGTGGCAAAAGAACATAGAACTAAATGAGAGGACAAAGCCAAGAAAAAGCGTAGCTGATGGGCAAGTGGGTAGCAATATAACCATGAAGCCTTAGCTTTTGAATCGGCCTTTTCCTAATTTTTTCCCCCCGCCCCGACCCGGTGTCACCGAGACCAGACGATGGAAGTACCCGAACTCGAAACTCATGCAACCCTGAAGCTCGAATCTATATGAGGCGGCAGAAGTCTGCTGCCATTTTCCGGCAGATAAGGCGCGTCGTGGGTGTTGTTCCGCGAATATCAACCAGTGAAACAGTCGCTTGAAGTAGCAGCACTAACGACACTTCGATTGTAGGAACCCCATGTCAGTAAACATGCCCCTGGTTCATGCTTATAATTAATGCAAGAATAACAGGATCTGTGGGACATGTTTGGTTTGCCTGGGCCTCGCAGCTAGGCTTTTCCGGCTTTATTGTATTCACTCGAGTTTTCCCTCAGGTCGTTTTGTTTACGCGTCCTCTTGGGTGATTCGTCAGCTTCAACTATACCACATGCTAAACTTCTTCGGCTACATCCCACGATGGCCAGCAGCACCACCCACCAACAGCACTGCCATCACCACCGCCACCGTAATTGCCAACATCACCCCTGCACCACCAGCAGCCGCAGCGGACAACGACAATGACGATCACGAAGATGGACAGCATACTCTGCTATTGTTAGTGCTCACTAGGTAGCACAACCCTTTAACGTGGCGTTGAGCTTTTGCTTCTAATACCGCAACGACACTTTCACTGGAACGACGGCGATGAATCAGATAACTTTGGCAACCACATCAAAAAGCTGAGGTAGTACGAGCACACCAAGTCTGCAACGAGCAAGAGCAAGCATTACGCACCCTCAGCCAGAAGAGCAAGGCAATTAAACGGGGCAGTACCACAACCGAAACCCTGCAACCTGCGTCAAAACCTTCCAGTGCATCCCCTCTGATTACAAGTATACATAACAAAAACGACGCACGACATATATTACACAAGCACCTCCAAGTCTTCAAGAATCAACACTCTAGACCCTGAAACCCACACAATCAAACACACCTGCAACACTTATAGTATAATGGGCCCCAGAACTCTATTCTAATTCTCAAGGCGCCTATATTACACCCTAACAGGCTGAGTGCATTGCCTTTCATCCCGGAAGCGGCATGGAGTTGGACTTTCAGGACATGAGCTGTCAAATTATCGGTTTAGGGCTTAGGATTCTGGGTTAATGCCTTAATGGTCTGGGTTTAGTCTGCAGGGCTGCAGGGTTGAGGTTTAAGGTTGTGAGGTTCAGGGTGTCAGATTTTGTCTATCGTTGGTCTCAGCTAGTGGATGGAATAGTTGAGGGCTCAGGGTTTCGGTTTTGCAGCTTCAGTGTTTGGAATGCTGCGACCGCAGTTAGACCTGTCATAGCTGTGGAGCTCAAACAAGCGAAGTGCGAAGGTCAGATGCTGCTTGTCTGGAAATGCCTAAGTTGTGCAATGTGTGGGTTCAGGTTAAAGAAATTGCTTGCTACTGTCATGCCACAGATCCTCACAGAAGAACACATGTACTTCTCGAGCCTCAATCGCCTCACCGGACGGCACTACCCATAAGATACTGCGATAGCTAGGATGTAGCATCAAGAACCGGAAAGATGCACACTGTCGACACTGTATTGGGTTACGGTTTAAGGGCTCAGGGAGAGCAAAGTTTAGGCACTGTGGCGCTTCATTCGGCTTTGAGCTCATGTTCATGATATGTCTTGCTCCGTGGCGTGATACGCACTGAAGCACAAACCCTGCAACTGCTATCCCAATCATTTGTAACACTTGTAGCAATCCTCGGGTGTTCTAGATCCGAAGCATTACCTTTGGTTAGTAGGGAATGGAAGAATGGTAGTAATAGTAGTTATAATTGTACCCCATTCCTCCATTCCCTACTAACCAAAGGTAAGAAGCCAACCGCATTTCGGTCGGAGTTTGAGTCAGCTCCTGCTTGGAACCGCGCTGCCCTTTCGCTGGATCATCATCCGCAAAATAGATCTTCCAAGAAGCAATTACTACATGCTACACTACCCAGGTCAGACGAAGATGGCCCATAAACCCCCCAAGCCTAGATCCTAAACCACATGCCCCCCCCAAAATCCTAAACCCGGTTTAGAAGGACGAAAAACTCCCTCCTCATTTGGGCCTTCGGGTACTAGGGGAGAACCGCCAGGCGGGATTGGAGGGCTTTTTGCTATAGGGTTTAGGGTTTGGGGTTTAGGGTTGGGGGGCTTTTGAGGAGTCAACTTTGAGGACTTCGGGCTCCAGAGGTTTTGAGGTTTTGTTTTTGGGGGATTTTGGGCCAGAGTCAGAGCAGCCCCCAGTGTGTCGGCTGAAGGTTTGCATGAAGTTCAGGTGGAGGGAGTTCGGGGTTCCACCGCTGCTCTTCAGAAGATTCTGCAGACTCCGGAACCCTAAACCCTAAACCTGAGACCCTAAGCCCTACATACCCTAAACCTTAAATCAGCCCAGCGCAGCAGGGTGATGCTGGTTGGAGACCACCCGTTTTAGTGGCCGAAGCCTGCGAGGTCATCTTCATTAAAGGTGGATGATACAGCTTGCTGCTTTCCGATGGCAGCAAGTCTTGACAGCCTCAGAGTGGCAAGGTGATTGCGTTGACACGTCCTTGAGTCTTCGATGATGTGATTCCGGTTCCTCAACTCGACGGAGCAGAGCTTCTTGGCGATTGGCAAGCATGAAACCTTCATCTGATCGAGATCGGCGGCGGTTCTGAAATCCTGTGGCGAGGAATGGCCATCAATTGCCGTAGACCTCGAAGATGGACGCCGTGGCTATTGCAAAGGCCACGGCCAGGGCCGAGTAGCGGCGCTTAGGTGAAGGCAAAGGCGATTTGAGGTGTTAGGGTTTTAAGGGAACGGTGTGTTCAAGGATTGAATCTCTCCTAAGCTCTTGCACGTGTTTGGAGAGATTTGGGTCGTTACGGAGCTCGGGGTGGAGGATATGGGTTTTTTGGACTAGCGCACTTGTCTGCTTTTTTCGTCGGTACGACTTCTGTGCAGTCTGGTTGGCGCCGCCGCATTTTCCACACGAAATATTCTGTGATACGGCACAAGGCCCTGACCCCCGAAACCCTATGCCCATGCCTATAGCCTTAGTGAAAGCCTCAAGCCCGTAATCATAGACCCTAAATCCTAAGACCCTCAACCCGAAATTCCGGAACCTATAACTTCCCTTACAAATCCCTTCCACCTGACCCTAAACCCGAAAGCCAAGGACCGTAAACCCTAAGGCCCTGAACCCCTGTAGCTTGGCAAGACGGGGCCCTAAACTGGGTATCGAAGTGGGATAGTTTCTGACTGCCCTCCGAGTTTAATAGAGAGCCCTATTATTAAACAAATCTGGCACTGTTGAAATCGACACCTAGTATATATATATATATATATATATATATATATATATATAGGATTTTTTAATTTACCTGGACTCTCAAGAACCTGCAAAATAGTCAGCTCTAATTTAAGAACGCGGGTTTTAGACTATGCCTGGAAACAGCGTTTTTTCTGCAGTATGGGTACATGGGCTCGTACAGTTTCGGACCACGAGTACATCCACGCAAACAAGGAAAGCAACTACCTCTTGGGGATGTACTCCTTAAGCTGGCTTCGTTAAGATGCATTGTGGGCTCCAGTACATGTATGCAGAAGCAGCTGCGACAATTGCAGCCGTGCTTCCGCACCGAACCTGAAACTAAGCGATGTCGGTGTAAAGGTTCGGTTTCCAGGTTGTTCAGGCCCCTTATAAGGGATTTATGGTTTGCATTGTAGGGCGTTGGGCTTAGCAATTTTGGGATAGAACTTTTGACGGCTTGGCAGAGAATTGAGGGCTGAGGGCTTTCCTAGAGGAAGGAGCGATCCTGTGGCTCTCCCTCATGAATTGAGCCAAGGCTGTGTAATTGAACTCTGTACAGGCCCTTGCAGAAACCTTGAACTGACTTTTGGTTAGTAGGGAATGGAAGAATGGTAGTAGTAGTAGTAGTAGTAGTAGTAGTAGTAGTAGTAGTAGTAGTAGTAGTAGTAGTAGTAGTAGTAGTAGTAGTAGTAGTATTTGTAGTAGTTATAGTTATAATTGTACCCCATTCCTCCATTCCTTACGAACCAAAGGTAAGTTAGGTGATCTGCTTTCTGAGTCCTCGAAACCTGCAGCCCATGCCCTCGAAGAACTACAAAGCCCCCGTATAGAACTCTATCAAATGCAACAGAACATGGTTTAAGGTTCAGAGCTTTAGGGTTTACCTTAACCCTGAATAACCTACCTTTTTAAGGACTTATATACTAATCCGGAGCCCTGAAAAGGTAGGTTATTCAGGGTTAAGGTAGGGCCTATCACCATAGCAGCGACCAAGACGCACATGGAGCTTGCAGCGTTTGTACCCCTCAGGTCTGGTTCACACTGTTGGGCTTAGGGTTTACCTTAACCACCAAAACTTGTTTTTTCCAGGAACTATAGGTAGCTTAGTGGGTGGGGCTCAGGTCTGAGGGCATTTAGAGCTTGGGGCTTAGGGTTTGGGCTGAAGTCTCATGCAGGTCCTCCCTGAAATAGCGCAGAGGTGCCTCGACGAAGGCCTTGGCGGGGGGACAGGTGGGTTTCGGATGTGCAACACTAGGTTCCAGAATAGTACCCTTTCTCCCTTTTTATTTCGGGGCCTCCTCATTAACGCAGAGCAGCAGACAAAACGGTACCCTTATTATAAAGAGCTGTTCAGGAACCTAGAACAAGAGCAGAATCTAGTGGCATGAAGCAATACTCCCAATTCGGCTCTCGCAGTTCCAGTTTTTGGTTGAATCGGTTTGGGCTTCAGGGTGCGAGATTGTTAGGGTCAGGGGTCTCGATGCAAAATACATGGGTAGTTGGCAAGATTATGGTACCTTTTTGGGTACCCTAAACAATAGGTGCCGTATTATAATAGGGACCCAAAAAGGGACCAGACTTTTGACAACCACCCATATACTGTTTGCTCTCGAAAGCGCCTCCTAAGGACGCTGGAGCCCAGGCTGGGCTTAGTTCCGTGCTTATCTATAGTCTCCTTATTAGGAATTCAGTTTCATTTTTGTTCATATTATAAAACTCAAGAGAATATTAAACATGTCATTTTTACTTTTCATTTTTGTTCATATTATAAAACTCAAGAGAAGATTAAAGACATTAATTTTTATCATGGTTCTAGGGGGGTATAGTTATTGCTGGTGGATGTGGACTGGTATATTCTCCCCTTGACGTTCATAGGCCTGGGCTGCTTCTGTGCCAACTAAACTTCAGTGGCCTCACTTACTGCCGACGTTTAATTGTAATAACCTTATGTTAAGTATTATGGCTAGTTCATTCGGTCTTCTGGGTTTTCGCGCATCCACTTTGGCACAGAGGGAGATGGTGAGGGGTTTATTGTAGATGATAAGGACGTGGGTGGTGTGCATGAGTCCACAGGGTTGGCAGGGCGTAAACCCTAAATGACCCTAAAGCCCAAAAAAGACCTCAAGAGCAGCAAACAAGCACAAACGAAGTCTGACCCGAAGCGCGCCGAAACCGAGATCAAGCCGTAAACTTAAAGCTAGGTCCAAATCCGAAACAAGTGCCAACGTGAAACTTCTGAAACCGTAAACAGGACCCTACGGGGACCCTCAATAATCCTACCTTTTTTCAGGACTTTTCTATGCAACTCATAAATGGAAACCTGAAAGGGTAGATTCTGTAGGGTCCCTTTAAACCCTAAACAACCCTCATGACATGGAACCCGTAAAAAGGGTAGTTTCTTTAGGGCCCAGATAAGGCTTAGGGTTTAGGGTTTGGGGTTTAGGGGTTTAGGGTTTAGGGGTTTAGGGGTTTAGGGGTTTAGGGTTTAGGGGTTTAGGGTTTAGGGTTTCTTTAGGGCCCAGATAAGGACCCGAAGTCTTTGCTCAGGTGCGCGGCTTTCTGCGGAGGCCTTGGCCGAGACTCCCCGGCTGCAGAGCGATGTCGGGCACCCGGCCTCTCTTTTTGTTGTGTTTAGGTTTTAGGGTGTAGGGTTTAGAGTGTGTGTGTGTGTGTGTGTCTCTGTGTGTGTGTGTCTGTCTGTGTGTCTCTGTGTATGTGTGTGTGCGTGCGTGTGTGGGGGTGTTTGTTTGCGTTTGTTTTGTTCAAAAGGGCATTTCCGAGTTGTTGAGTTGGCCTTTCTGGTTTATGCGAATTTCAGTTTGTCCTGATTTGGAATTTCAGGGTTTTAGTATCTTAGCCATCTTAGTTGGTTATGCTTGTTCTCAAAGTGTGTCGCTTTGGGGTTTGAGGGTGTCAGGGTTGGCCCTTGTTTGTTTTGTTGAGACAGTTGTGGTGCTTGTGATATGTGTTGATTGGGACTTTGGGCTTTAGAATTTGGTGTGTATGTATATATATATATACATATATATATATATATATATGTATGTATCTGTGTGTATGTGCATATAGATATTCACGCATAGATAAGCATGCATGCATGCATGTGTGCATATATGCCTGTATGCATGGCAGATACACACATAAGCCCATACTTTGAACTTACACATGTGTCTACCTATCTGTCTGTTTGTGTCTATTTGTACCTCTGTGTCTATCCACTATCTATGTATCTATCTACCCACCTACCTATCGATCCATCTGTCTATCCATCGATTTGTTTATCTATCTACCCATCTATCCATCTATCCCTCCAACCCCCAATCCAACTATCCATCCATCCGTCCATCCATCCATCGATCTACCTATGTATCTGTCACTCTGCCTACCTATCTATCTATCTATCTATCTACCCCTCGAGTTGTCTGTATATCTACCTATCTAGCTACCTAGGTTGTGAAACATGAGATCTGGCCTAGCTTGGGTTGTTGGCATATGTAGAGCGAGGCAGCTGCGGTAGGGTTTTCGGGGTTGGGGTTTAGAGTATAAGGTTCAGGGGTGAGGGATGTCATTTGGTTTTATTTCTCAATTTACCGGGCTTTGGAAAGATGAAGTCCTTCCGGGAGTCGGCGCCATCTATCCACTACCGCCGTCCGATTTGAGGCCTTTCGATCGTATATGCGGGTCCTTGCAAACCCTAAACCCATCGAGTTTCTCTGCGGGTTTCGGTACAGTGTGCCGAGACGAAGTGACTTTCGCAGTGTTTAGTTACTCTAGTTTAACTTGTGTGAACTAGCAGTCACGGGTTATGGGGCATTATAAGGCTTTGATGTGGTCGGATGGGTTTGGATGCAGTAGGGTTTTGGTGAGTTTTATCGAGCTTCACAAGCCACCGATAGGTTCCGGTTCCACATGCGTGCTTTATGTCGAGAAAGGGGGGATATACGATATTCGTATCAGGCCTCCTGGCTTCAAGCTTCGAAGCTTCTGTTCAATTGGTGGGTTGGGTTTAGGGTTTAGGATTTGCGGTCATCCGGACAGAGGTTGCGGGAAAACACAAGCTGTCTGATTGCGAAGCACTTGAAGCAAATCCCTGTACAACGTCCTGAATCTGTGTATAGCACCTCGACTTATCAAGGGGTTGGATGACGGGGATCCAAAATTATTGATTATATTATTGTTATTATTGTTATTGTTATTATTATTAGTATTAGTATCAGTATTAGTACTAGTATTAGTATTAGTATTATTATTTGTTATTATTATTACTATTATTATTATTATTATTATTATTATTTTTATTAATTATAGCGCCCTGAGAAGCCAGGAGGATTGAATCGTCGATGTTTAGCCAGCGCGCAACGATTTGATAATTCACTCCATCGAGCTGTGGAATGGTTGCTGTCCGAACGAGGCATCACGGGCTTGGCTGCAGCTGGTTCCGCTGCGGGAAGTCACTTTGCTCTCAAGTCTTGTGCAGGATTTTGTTCAGGAAGGCTTGTTATATCATGAGACCCTAAAAAACCACCTTTGTCTAATATTAGGGTTGGGGCTTCGGAATTTAGGATTCGTTGTTGTGTCGAGTGGGATTGAGGGTCTAATCAGGCGCTCGGGTCCAGGCAGGATTAGGGCTTTGTTATGCGGCTGTCTTCACAGCGCTCACAGGGTGGGGACTGTGAATCTGCGACATCTCTGGACTTAGATCAAAGTTCGTCTTGGATGCAAAAACCATGGCCAGGACTAATGCGCGATACTACCGTTCTGCAGCCCCCGGTGTGTGAGGATATGAGCTTCGTATGCTACACTTGGCTTGCAAATCACGAGAAACCGATAAAAACCGTGTGTGCTGGAACCTCCCAGCGAGCCTGTCGCCGCGATCCATTCAGCTTTTAGGGTAGGGTCCGATTTAATTTAGGGGCTTAGCCGCCGATAGCATCCCTCAAATTCACAGCTTCGGTTCAGAGTTGCAGAGTTTCAACATGCGGGTCAAAGTCTACCAGATCGGCTGGGATTCCTGCAGGCATTCAATCGGATCAGTTATATGAGGAGACGAGGTGTTTATTATTGTATTGCTAATACTCCAGACACGACTGACAAGATCTTATGCTTCAGCGCTTCGGGGTTGTCGGGCTCGGGGTTTAGAGTTTAGAACTTAGGAGTTTGGGGTTGTAGGGCGTGGAGTTTAGGGTCTCCAACCCCTAAACCCTACATCCTCACCCCAAACCCTAAACTCACAACAGGGAACCCCAAAAAGGAAGGTGTTATAGTGTCCAGGTAGGGCTTAGGGTTTTGGGGATGTAGGGTTCGGTGTTTCAGGGATGGAGCGTCGTGGCTTCGAGAGCCAGGCCAGAGCCGAATCACGAAGTCGCCGCATCAGTGCACAGACGCCACAAACGGCTTTAGGATTTGGGGTTTAGGGGTTTAGGGTTCAGGGTTTGGGGTTTAGGGTTTAGGGGTTCAGGATTTATAGGGCTTGGGGCTTACAGGGTTTAGGGTTTAAGGTTTGGAGCTTATAGGGTTTAGGAGCTTTTGCTTTAAGTTGAAGGCCCCTAGCTGGTCGGTATTCTGGCATCATATATCCGCGAATACATCTCTGATTTTATCCGGTCTTAGTCTTGTCAGGGTGTATGCGGCGGAGCATGTATCCGAATTTATTTTTTCCATGGCCAAACCTGGGCCAGGGGTAAGTAGCTTGTTGAAGCTATGGCTTGAATGCTAGGGGCGTAAGGCTACTGACTATAGAGCTTCCCCGCGGGCCTGCTCATATGTAGCAGGCCCCAAACATGACCAGAAAGACAGGTGCACTGGTTGGCCCCGGAATGGTCCATTCGGTCAGAGCCCTGCCGGACATTTCGACCTGGCCTTTGGCGGATGGTGAGGCGAGAGATGTTTCGGCTAGGGCTTGACGGCCCAGGGTTACGGGCTGAGGGTACGGAGCGTTCTGGGTATGCAACCAACCTCCAAACTTGCAATGGTTTTCTTCTGACTTTGGTGCCTGACTGTTTACAGCTTGGGGCTTTTGTGGCTTAGGGTCTGGGGTTCTACGGTAGGAGTAGGGTGGTTTCTGCTGTATGAGTCTTGCCTGTTTTGGTCTAGGTGCGGCAAAGCACCCTCAGTACTTAGCCGAGGATATTGGGCCAGAAACCATATTTAACAGACCCAGCCTCTAGGCCCCGCTTGGTAGTATGCTTAGGGTCCTTCGGAGATATCGCTGGAGTTCGGGGTTCATGCCTGGCTTCGAAGGGCTCCCCCCCAACCCCCCACCGCCCGCTTTTTAGCGAAGCTAGCTTTCTCGCAGCTGGCATTAGTCCACAAGCAAGGTGCCCTAAAGCCTAAACTCTCCAAACCATTAGAGCGCCCCCCCCGTACTGAGTAACCCTTCCCTGAACAAGCAGAGCCGTGCTGTGGTCTCGAAAGCCCGATTATGAGGCTAACGTAGATCCCTGATTGCCGAACGCTCCTAGCCTGGTTGGGTCATATGGGAGTTTCCGAAAATAGGGGACTCGAATATAGTACCCTAAGTAGTAGGATCCTTATTATAATGACCCCAATACAAGGTACCCCCAATTTTCGGAAACTCCCATATGCAGCAGGGGACTGCTGCTCAATCAAGTCTTAGAGACAAGCCGCACACCCATCACCTAAACATCCCCGGGCCGCAGTCAGCAGTGTTTGCATGTCTCTCTCTCTCTCTCTCTCTCGTTCCCCTCTCTGTGTATATACATATACTCAAAACTACATATATACATATGTATGTATGTATACAAATATAGGTACCGATAGGTATAGGTATAGATTGTATAGACATAGATATAGAGATAGATGAGAGCTATCTACCTACCTACCTATCTATCTATTTATCTATCTATCTATCGTTCTATCTAGCTTGTCATCGGCCCATCGATGCTTTTCTCTAGCTAACTATCTACCTATGCTTGCCCATGCACATATTCTTGTTTTTTTTGCTTTTTTCTATAATGACAGTACGGGAGTATTAGTTCTACTTGTTTCGTCCCCCCCCAACCCCCTCCCACCCAAACGTTACATGCTGTCTATATAGGGACCATACGGTAATATTATTTCTGAGTATTCCGAGCACCGATCTTACATACTATGCTATCATGTGCTTTTCAGTGGAAACACTAAACACTAAACCCTGAAATTAGGCCTAAACCCTAATCTGGGAAAAGCGGTGGAACACGAAACCCCTAAACCCTAAGTGGAAACCCTAAACCCTAAACCGAAAAGTGGAAACCCTGAGCACTAAGCCCTAAACCCTGACATAAAAATTCAGCAGCCGAGCAGGTAAGCTTCATGCTTTTTTCGGGTTCATGCAATCCTCTATCAGCCCCTGAGAGAAAGGGAAAACGGCAGCCAGGGCTCCCAAAAACGGAGCTCCCTTCGCCTTGTCCCTGCGGCTCCACGACGACGGCACCGCCGAGCTGGAAGAAGATCCGGATCGCCAGCGCCTCAAAGAAAGGGCTCCTGTCTCCTCTACTACTGTTATTATAGTTTTATCTATTACGAGTAGTAGCAGTCGTAGTAGTAGTAGTAGTAGTAGTAGTAGTAGTAGTCGTCGTAGTAGTAGAAGTAGTAGTAGTAGTAGGAGTAGCAGTAGTAGTAGTAGTAGTAGTAGTAGTAGTAGTAGTAGTAGTAGTAGTAGTAGTAGTAGTAGTAGTAGTAGTAGTAGTAGTAGTAGTAGTAGTAGTAGTAGTAGTAGTAGTAGTAGTAGTAGTAGTAGTAGTAGTAGTAGTAGTAGTAGTAGTAGTAGTAGTAGTAGTCGTAGTAGAAGAAGTAGCAGTAGCAGTAGCAGTAGCAGTAGCAGTAGCAGTAGTAGTAGTAGTAGTAGTAGTAGTAGTAGTAGTAGTAGTAGTAGTAGTAGGCGGCCCAAGGCAACGGTAAAGAGTTCCATTATCGAGGGCTCTTTTGCGATTTAGGAGTTCCGGAATTTAGGGTTTGAGTTGATAGAAGTCGTAGTGGATCTTTTCTTACACGGGCTCCTTGCTATACTGAAACTGTAATTTGCTCCCCCTATTCAAATTATCAAGGCGCCCTATATTGGCTAGTGAGGAGGGTATCGGTGAGCTTTCTGGGCTTGCAGAGAAGCTTGAATTTGCGGTGCGCGTGGTTATTGCCCCGCTCAAAACTAAATGCAGGTTTAGGGGTTCAGGGTTTAGGTCTAGGTTTTACAGGCATCAGAAGCCGTGCCAGAACCCCAAATTCCAACCCGTTCCCGCAAACATCATGGGAGTCAGAACTTCGAGACATCCTATAAGAGATGGTATCATCATTCAAGCGCCAAAATTTATGAGTTCAGGCCCCGAAGTATAGGTACTCAGCCAAATCTTTAGCTTTACATCCGCAGATTCCTACCCCTTCGAACCTAAAACTGTATGTGTTCTTACACAGTGACAGCCTAAACCCCCAAGCCCCCCCAAACCCTAAACCCTGAACCCAACCGCAGGCCCATTACTCGAAATCTGGCTTCATCTCTGCCATTTATAATTTGGGTTGGGCCCTAAACCCCTATAGAGAGAGCCCTTAAGGGAACCCGTAATGCAAAGAACCTTGAAGGAATAAAGAAAGACCCTCAAGTACTACTATAACACAAGCCCTGACCACATAAAGAAGCAAGTATTCCTGAATCAGCTTCTTCAACCCTAAACCCTAAACCTTCATCACACTTGCTCAGCCCCAAAGCCCCTAAGCAACAGTGAAGCCCTAAGGGCCCCAGTACCCCAATAATCATATGGATCCTCCTATTTAGGGTACGACTTTAGGGTCCCCTATTTTCGGAAACCCCCCATATACTCTCCCAGATATTAACCTACATAGCTACTATCCTAAACCCAAGTAGCTGATTATTGAGTCCTTTAATCCCTTCAGGAAGTGACAATCAGAGTAATAGTGTAGACGCGGTAGGAACATGAATGCTCTTAACATTATAGCAATGTATCTATAATTCGCATACCGTTTCTAACGAAATAATGCAAGAGTGCTTGAAAGCTCAAGGCCCTTCCACGGAGCCGGAAGCCAGCCCAGTGCCGCCCTTGGGTCGTACCCGTGCGGAGGCTCTCTGCAAAGACCAAGTTGACTCTTCCCAAAGGACTTACAGACATGCAATCCTCTTTGGATATTCACGAGTCCTTCAGGTACAGGACCAGAAGGATCCAACTTAGCAACGGCGTCGTTTTGGTCTCCTTCTCGTGACAATACCCCGCCGAAATTCGCCCTCAATGCAGGGTCCTTAATAATTAGAATAGGGTTTTGGGGGCTCCTTATTGCAATTCTACTATATAAAACCCTAAACCCTAAACTGTTGAGGGTATTGGCGTTTGCATGGATTTATGGTTTCTGGACGGCGTGACAGGCCCAAGCCAATAGTGTGGGTAAAGTGCCAAGACACGGGCGCCACGGGGTGCGGCGCATGTCTGTTTTAGGGTTCGTTTGAAGGCTTCCTCTTCGGTTCTTAAGGGTAGGCGGTGTAGAGGGTGTAGAGTAATGCGCTCACCCAAAGCTTGAACCCGAAACATCGCGATCGACTGACAAATGTCAAAACCGCCCACAAGCCGTGAGACTAAAACCCCTGAGCCCTGCTCACTGCACCCCCCCAAAACTCTGAAAGAACCGTTTGCAGATAGAGGTAAGGAGCCCGACAGTCGCCACAGGCACCGTCTCCTACATCTGATGCTCGCAGCACCGTGGAGGTGGGAAGCAAAGCCAGCGAAGATCGACATTTCTGATCTTTAGGGTGTCGTGTTCGAAGTGTTCTGGGTCGAGGGCATAACTTGCTTCCATAAGACCTCGGGCCCAGGTCTGGGATTGAGGGCTAAGGACCAGATACTCGGGATCAAGACCTCCATGGATTGCGGCATTTCCGGGGTTGGTAGTCTTTTGCCAAGACCCTTTCTACAGTTTGCAACATGAAGCCCTTGAGAAAGGACCTATCTTGATCTATACAGCTAGGATACTCTGGGTTTCGGCTTCTGTCTCTGCTGGCGACACGGCTTTTGCCAAACTTGAGTAGTTGGCCACTTCTGGGTCAGTCTGGGTCCTTTTTCCATTCACCCTGGAATGTCGTGGCACGTGCACTCCCTCCATGCAGTGGTGTTTGTGCATGTCACCCTGTGCATGAAACTTCAATATCTCACCGCAGACTATCTAATGATTCTAATGAGTCTGAACATAGCATGAGTCTGAACCTGATACCTTGAACTCCCCATGTACGAGCTTGTTACCCGCTTACCCATCATCTTTGGTACCAGGACCCCGCTTTCACCTAACCTAAACCCAAACCGAAATGGAAACCCAGCATTAAATACGGCAAGTACCCTACACCCTGGAAGCTCCGGTAGGACTTGAAAACTGGACACAACCTTTGAAAGCTTACAAAGGCCCGAATCTGAAACGCTGTGCAGAACCTCTAAACTCTGGAAAATGGAAAACCAGCTGGATTCCTACAACGAGCTAGACAAACAATCCCCTTAGAGCCGATAAAGCCTGAGAAACCTTCGAGAAGGCCTCAAAACTTCAAGCACCCAATCCTTAAGCCCTGAAACACCCACTCCCTGATCCCTAAACCCTAACCCCTGGACCCAACAACCTAACCAACCCTAAGCCCAAAACCCCAAAACCTCAAATCCCTAAACCCTCAACCTCCAAACCCTAACCCCTAAACCCCAAACAACAAACCCTCAAAACCCTAAACCCCTAAACCCTAACCCCTAGACCCTAAACCCTAAAGAGCTTTTAGAACTTCTCGCCAGGTGCCCCTCGAGGTCGCAAATGCCCTGGTGCTCCCAGAGCCCGCCGAGGCTTCTTCTCGGCCATAAGGGATTTTTAGACGGGTTTGAGGGTTTTGGGGTTAGGGTTTGGGGGATTTGAGGGTTTGGGGTTTTGGGCTTAGGGTTAATTAGCTTGCTGGGAATCCTTACTGTAAGATGGTTTGGTTAAAGGAAACTTTCAGTTCTTAGGTGTTTTTTGAACTGGGTGCTTCGTTGAACGGGTTTCGGAAAGGTTCTAGAATAAGGGTTGCTATCAGGGTGAAAAGTATAGGGGCCTTCTTGACAATTGGAGGAGGGGTTCCTTTAAGGGTTGTTTTGAGGAATTCTTTACGGCTTTAGGGCTCCTTCAAAGGTTAAAGGTCTCCCTTCAGGTGTCTACAAGGATTCTCTTTGGGGATTCTTGCAGGGTTGTGGCTCACGTTTAAGAATTGGATCTGTTTCAGGCTCAGGGTTTATGAAAGGTGCCTACAGGGATTTTTTTTCTAGGAGGCTTCTGTAGTTTAAAACCTTGGGTTTACAGGTTTAGAGGGCTTCAGGTTTCGAGCACATTAGGGTTGGGTGTAGGGTTTGCCCTAGCCTAAGCGTCCAAGTCCCAATGTGTTGCAAGGGGACAAATATGACTATAGGCTGACTATAGGCGTGTTGACACTGAGAGTTGTCTTGGACCGTGCATACTAGTGCCTGTACGATCGGAATCCTGCACCTCAGTCCTTCCTACCTATGAAGACGCTCAATCCGAAAGCTTTAGCAAGCCTAAAGCCTGGAAAGGTGGCAAGTTCGGACTTTGTTGGTTGTGTTTAGCTGTTTAGCTTAAATTTGGGGGTTTAGGGTTTAGGGTAGGCTTAGTGGCTCCAGAGTTCGGGAGAAGGCCCTGGAAGGGGTTCGCACGCGAAGCTGAGGGTCATTGGCCTTGGTCGCTTACCTGTCCAAAACCCACTTAAGCCGAAATCTTTTGAGCCTGAAGCCCTAAACCTTACTAAACATCCGAACATGTAATTAACCAGTAAGCCCGAAGCCACAAAACCCTCAATCCCTGGCTAAAGCCTGCATAATATAGAGGCCTCAATTACAACTTTAAAAGGTATAATAATGGGTCCCAAAACCCTCTTCTACTTAGCAAGGCCCCTATGATAAAAGCCCTAAACCCTAAACCCTAAACTAAACCCTGAACCCCCGGCCTTTCGGCACAACTTCTGCGCAGACATGGGAGCCGGCGCTCGGCGAATCTGTCGCCAGGTCCCGAGGTGTTTGCACTTTCGGTTTAAGTGTTTCGGTTTTTGGTTTGATTAGGATTTAGGAGTTTAGGGTATGGGGTTTCAAGATGCTTTTTTGAACGGCCGACCCGACATGCAAAAACGATGTCCGCCTTTGATCATGGCAAAAACTGCTTTCCGTGGCATGTTTGCTGATACGTATCATGATGTATCATGCAGTTTACCAGTTCTATACCAGCTAGTCTACTACAATCCCTAAACCCCATAAACCCCTAAACGCTGCACCTCTAGTCCCCAGGCCGCGAACCCTATAGACCATCAGCCCTACACCCTCAACCCTTAAGCTCCAAACCCTGACTAATCCCAACGCCCGAAGCCCCGGATTTCAGAGTTGACCTCTGTTTTAAACAGCAGCTCATCGGACGAGGCACCCTGTGCAGAGGCAAAAGAGGCTCCCGCAAAGGCTCATCCGGCTGTACCGAAGAAGCAGTGGCATGCTTACCCCTTTGTACTCGGGGCTTGCTGGGTGACCCTGCTGTGCCGAGTCCCGCGGCAGGAAAGACCATGCCAAACCCTAAACACTAAACCCAAAACCCTAAACCCTAAACCGTCGAGCTAGAGGCTGCGGAAGCACCCCGTGCAGGGGCAATAGTGCCGAAGGATCCTGCAGAACCAACGCCTGCTGCGCCGAGTTCTGCGGGGCCAAACTTACCTTGAGTTAGTAGGGAACGGAACATATGGTAGTAATAGTAGTTATAATTGTACCCATTCCTCCATTCTCTACTAACCCAAGGTAAGCAAAGGCGGCAGAGGAGCATCCCAAGGCGTAAGCATCGGCACCGGTGCGAGTGCCTGTCAAAGCAGCCTAACAAGGCCAGGCACCAGCGGAGAAGGCAAAGCCCAAAGGGCCCAACATAATATGGGGGCCTGAATAACTACCTATACTGTTGTTTTTTTGGTGTGTGTGGTCCTTATTATAATTAGAGTGTAATGGGCCCACAAGCCTATTCTCACCATTAAGGCCCTATACTATATCCTTATAACGGGCCGTTTAGTAACCCTGATATAGAGCCCTTTAAAGGAACCCTGTTCTCATTATTAAGGCCCCTATGTTATGGACCCCGCCCCCCCCCCCCGCCCCCGGAGTCGATGCATCATCACTGCAGGGACCTCTCCTCTCTTTGGGCCCGCCAAGAAAGCACCGTAGTCTCATTAGGAATTATTTTTAGTTTTCATATAAAACCCTAAAGAATGTTAAAGAAATTATGTTTCTTATGGTTCTACGAGGGGTATAGAGAAGGCTGCAGCCGGGGCTTTCCGGGTTTAGATGAGTTGCGGATGAGGGCCCTTTTACTAGAGAAATTGCCCCTTTCAAGGCAAGGAACGGGGGCTTATTAATCAGGATGCTACTTTGTGTTTCTTTGCAGGCTGTGGGGGCTTGAAGGCTTTAGACGATTAGATGTTCAACTATACCTCAAAGCACATGGGGTAGTTGTCAAAATTATGGTCCCATTTTGCGTACCTTAAATAATGGGTGCCGTATTACAATAGGGACCCGAAGAGGGACCTTATTTTTGACAACCACCCCCATGTGCATTTGGCTGTCTTAGCCGAGGCTGACTTGTGACTCTTTTGCTTCCATCATGTGAAACCTTCAAGCAATTAGGTGTAAGGTTGGTTGAGTCTGGGCAGCTACAGAGCCCCCGCCCACAATCCCAAAGGCCGAAAGGGCAAAACATGAAACAGCCCCTTGTGCAAACATAACTTCGGGTCCAAACCTGCATGTCTCTTCGTTCTTCACAGCAATCAGAGGGCAGCGGCCAGAGGAGTACCCCACTATACCCCTACTACAGACCCAACTGTCAACCACTACAGCGAACCTCCACTTAAAACCCCTAATCCCCAGACCCCCCCCCCAACACCCGCCCCCCCACCACCGGAAAGCCTAAACCCTTAAACCCTAGACTTGTGATCCCAGCATCCCCTCGCAGAATCAGTTTTGTGGGGTTTGCCAAAAAGCACAAATGATGACTCAGCAAAACAAAGCAATACTCAGCAGAAACAACTGCACGAAGGCCACTCGCACAAGGACTCACGGAAAACAAAAACTACGAAAAAGCAATAGCAAAACAATTAAGAAGCACAATAAAAGCCAGAAGCATTTGCAGCATAAGCTAAGCAACGAAGAAGCAACCACAAAAAACACAACAACAAAAACAGAAAAACAAATCTTACATCACAACAGAACACACTCACATAAAGCAAAAACAAATTAACGTCCATAAACGTAACAAGTAAACAGAGAAAGCAACAACACATGTTTGAGTTGTGAATTGAGTCTGGGTTTTTTCTGCTTTTGAACAGATTGCTGAATCTGTGTTTTTTGCTTTTCCTGTTGAGTATAGGGTTTTGGGGCTGCTTTTTGGTCTGAGTCTTGATCTGTTTGTTCCGGTGCTTTTTTGAACTAATCATCTAAACCATTCTGTGCTGCTGGGATCTCAACCCTAAACCCCCCCCCACCCCCTCCAAACCCTAAACCCTACACCCTAAACGCTAAACCGTAGCGTACTCGGAAGTTTTAGGTCTTGAGCCGGCTCTTCGAGGGGGAAGCCGATGCCTCCGGCGGCCCTTTGAGACCAGGACCTGGACTTAGGGTTGTTTAGGCGGTTTGGGTTTACCTAAACCCCCTCAAAGTAGGTAAAATAATAGCCCAAAACCTATAAAAGGCCATTATTCTCGTTTATGGGGCTTAGCTCAAGTTTAATCATTGCGTTGTCCCAGATGTTTTTTTTTGAGGGGGGGTGCGGGGGGGAGGGTATAGAGGACTGTGGCGTGCACATCGCAGCATATGCTCCGTGCTAAGAGTTCCTCTTCGGTATCCGCGGGGCCCAATGCCCTGTAATTCCGCTGCGGCCTTGATGTCATACAAGAAATTTGCAAGTACGCATCTCCTAAGCTGCACATGTTCCAGAAATAGCATTTACTTGAGAAGTAGCCTTGGAATCGTGATTTGCAACCTGAGCCCAAAACGGAAACCTTCAGACCTCACTCACGTGTAAACAGGAGGAGATAACCCATATGGGTGGTTGTCAAAATTAGGGTCCCTTTTGGGGTCCATATTATAATACGGCACCTATTATTTAGGGCACCCAAAAGGGACCATAATTTTGACAATCACCCATATGACTCAAACTTGAATCCTCCATTGCCATCCGTTTAGGCTTACAGCTTTAGCACTCTTATAATCGGCGGGAAGCCCTTGTAAGTTATAGATTATAAACCTTGCAGGCCTCAGAAGTACAGCCTTAAGGTAAAAGCCAGAAAGTTGTAATATGATTATCCTAAACCCTTTATGGTAAACCTGACTCACAGCTATCATCTCAAACCCTGGAGCCCTCCAACCTTCACCTGATGGACATGTAGGAGTTGCAGGCAACGGCGCCCCGGCGTAGAACTCTGAATGGTAGGATCCCTATCTTCACTTTCGGAAACCCCCCACGTCGGAGGAGATGTGGGCCGCATCATTGCAGTCCAATCAAGGGACCGGCTTCCTCTTCAGGCAGGGTTCCGTTTTTTTGTTGAATTCCGGGCCCTTCTTAACGTATGGGGCCTTGTACGATGGGTCGTAACATTTTCGGGCTTATGGTAGGGTCCCGTATTGATTGAACTTTCCAGATATACCGACACGGATTTGAGTTGTGGAAGTTGTGGACACGGGCTTGATCTTTGCTCTCTAGGGCTTCGGATGTGGAAGGGGAAGCCGTTTTTTTCGGACAATGGCAGCCTTGCCAGAAGAGCGAACAGGAGGTGGGTTCGCGCTACAAACATGCATGTAGGAAGATTTGTAGCTGTAGGTGCATGTCCGGTTAGGTTGGTACATGTATGCTTGCTCGGTTCCTCGTGAACCTTGTTCTCATTCGGCTCTTCCGCTGTGCTCTGGTTGCAGTTCAAGGCCCTGCCAGTCCTCCTTTGACACGGAAGCTCCTAACCCGAGATCACCCGCGATCGATTGATCCAAGCACCCTTAACTATAGACTTGTCTCCTTCTATATTTATGGTGGAGGCTTTAGGTAACCCTGAAACCATCTGAAGCCCAAATCCCATGCCCCAAAACCCTAAACCCGAAACCGTCCCAACCACAAGGGTCTGTGTTTCTTTTACCGAGGCCATGAGGGTTTCCCAACAGGCGGCAACCCCAAGAATTTAGGGTTTAGGGGTTTAGGGTTTGGTCCTTTGGACGCCTATGCTTCTAAAGTCCTGAACACCCCTAAATCGGTAAGTATCCCTGAGGCTATAATCCTTAGTGGCTGAGCAGGCAACCTTGAACCTTTTGGGGTTTTCATAACAATACCATTATTTGAAAGGTTAACCTTTTTTGGGCTAGGGTACTCAGCCCCTAAGAAACACAGTATCCTTGTGTGCCTAAACCCTAAACCCTAAGAAACAAAGTATCCTTGCACTCCATAGCTTTCGGCTGCAGCGTCTGACAGGTGCAAAGCTCTTCTGGGGCAGCTTGGTGGTGGGGCCCCCGAGTTCTTTCCCAAGGGGACCCTTCGAAGGGGCTCTAAAGGGGGCTTCAAGGGGGCTTGAAGAGGCCACGCCTGTTGATGTAACCACCAAACCCTGCACCGTGAACCCTCTCCTCGACGGACGCTTCAACAGACCCAGACTGCTATGCCCGAGGAGTGAAAGCTTAAACCTTCGACCCCCCAGACCTAGCCCCAAAACTTAAGACCCCAGATCCTGAACTCAAACCCCAAACCTCAGACCTAAACCCTAACACCTGAAGCCTCAGCTCGAGTCCTGAACATGTTACCGCGAGGGCCCAATGAAACGGTTTTGTCCATGTTTAGGGTTTAGGGCTTTGAACAGTGTGTACTACTATTCCCCAGCGGCTCGCTTGGGTTGTTCCGAATATTAGGGGTACCTTATTCTGGGGTCCTTACAATAAGGATCCTACTATGTAGAGGTACTAAATTAAGGTCCCCTATTTTCGGAAACTCCCGTATGAGTATACTATCAAACCCTTGTTCTGACTTTTGGACACCTTTTGCTATCTGCTCCGCAGCACGAGTTCTCCTATAATACCAGCTCCAAAAGCCAAGACCAGTAAATCCTAAAACCTAAAACCCTATAGCCGTGTTCAGAAGTTGTGAAAACTATAAGGAGACTTACTTAGAACGACCGGGAGCCACTATAGAACTAGAATAGCCCAAAGCCCCAAACCCTGAGCCTTAAATCCTAACTCTAAACCCGACACCCTTAACCTCAAACCCTAAAACCCTAAAACCTAAACCCTGAAACCCATTACCCTAAACCCAAAACCCTAAAGCCCTAAACCCTAAAACCCCAATTAAACCCTAAAGCCCGAAAGCCCTAAACCTTAAAGCTGAGAGGTACACTTTCCGGGCCCTTGTCCCCACGACTAGCCTACGGCCCGGTCTGCGAAGCTTCCGCTGGACATCCCTGAAAGGCGGGTTTGGGGTTCTAGGGCTTATAGGATATAGGGTATAGGGTTTAGGTTATAGGGTATAGGGTTGAGGTCATAGGGTATAGGGTTTAGGTTGTAGGGTATGGGGTTTAGGGTATAGGTTTTAGGGTATGACGGTATAGGTTTTAGGGTATAGGGTTTAGGTTTTAGGGTATAGGCAGGGTATAGGGTTTAGGGTTTAGTTGTTCAGCGTTCGAGGTTTCGGGTTCCAGGTGTAGGGTTCAGGATTTGGAGCTTAGGGATCAGAGTTTGGGGTTCCGGGTTCTTAGTTCAATGGAGCGCTTGGTTCTTGATGTAGGGTTTAGGGTGCAGGGCTTAGGGTTCGGGGTTTAGAGCCTGTAGTAGTGCGAGAATAGGGACCTTGCAAGTGGTGCGGAGGTTTCATATTAGGGTTTGGGGGTTTATGCAGGGCTGTGAAGGCTTTTTAAAAGCCTTCACAGCCCTAAACCCTACATAAACTTATGTAGGGCTTGTGGTGTATCGGGATTCGGGGTTGATCTAGGGCTTCGGGCTCTCAGGGTGTAGGGCTGGGTTCGTGCAGGCTGTAGGGTGTAGGGTTTCAGGGGGTTGGTGTAGGGCCGGATTTTCGTCTCGGCTTTCTGGGTGTGTGGAGGCGGGGTTATGGGTTATGGGCTAGCCTCGGTCTGTACAGTTTCAGACTTGTGGCTTACATGCTGCGCAGCTCATTCTCCGTTGTTTGTTTGTTGTGTTGTCACCCGTGGTAACTCGCGTTCATGTCTTATCAAGCAGAGACACCGAGATACTAAGACCCCCACTTTCACTTTTGAGGAACCCATCTTCCGACCCTGCGAGTAGCATATGAAAACCTTAAACCCCAAACCTTGTGAACGCCCTCAGCTATGTATCTTCAACCTATGGTGATGATTATGAGCCGGTCAAAGCTTCAACACACCTCTCTCATCATGTGTGTGTATATATATATATATATATATACATATGTACATACATATATATATATATATATATATATATATATAAATGTGTGTGTGTATGCACACCAACTGACGCAAATCCCATCATATGTACGCCCAGATCCTCTTTTGATTATGAAGGCCCCGATCTTGGACGAATGCATGTAAGCCCTGTGTCAGGGGCCTGGCGCGGAAAGCGCCTTTGCTGCCGGCTCTCAGATGGAGCTGAGTGTTGGCTGAGCTCCGAGGCACTTCTTCACAGGGTTCTGGCTAAAGACTCTATTTAAGGTTTAGGGTTCGGGGTTTAGGGTTCAGGGTTTAAGGGCTTAGGGTTAAGCGATGTTATTGCTTAAGGGGTTTGGGGTTTAGGGTTTGTAAGGGTTTAAGGCCCTTAAGTGCAGGCGCTTCAGACTGCAGCTTGTCGTGGTGAACCCTAAACCCTCAACCGAAAGCCTAACTGATACTAGGTAGGCCTTTGGGACATTTTATATTTCCCCTTATTTGGCTTAATAGGACCCTATTTACGAATATTTTTCAGAGGCTTTAAAGGGCCAACCTAGGATACGGACCCGTCCGAGACAGGGACCTCAGGCCTAAACACACCTCGTGGGTTGCCAGTAATAGTACCCTTATTCCCTTTTTGTAGTCCTAGGTTCCTTATAAAGTTACCCAATACCAAAAAGAGACGCCTTGTTATTCTTAGGTTACTGGGTATCCTAGTTAGGGTACGAGAAGGCGTCCACAAAGGTTGTGAACGGTTCCTGGGCTTGCGCATGAACCCTAAAGAACCTTGAGCGGTACTATAGGGGCCTACTGTAAAGTAGAATGGGACCCAAAACCCGACTCTAATTATTCAGGCCTCTATATTCAAGAGCCCTGAGTGGTAAAGCTCCAGCCCTCAACTCTCAACCTTATATGGGAGTTTCCGATAATTAGGGGTACCTTATCTTTGGGTCCTTATAACAAGGATCGTTTTATTTAGGGTACTATATTTGGGTCCCCTATTTTCGGAAACTCTAATTTACACCCTGAGCCCTAAACCCGAAACCCTAACTTTAATCCCAGAGCCCTAAACCAAAAGCCGAACTGCCTAAACCCAAACCCTCCCAATGCACATGCGACCCCAGAAGTGCCCCAAAAGCCACTGAACCGCAATACACCTTGAACCTCATAAGTAAGTTGGCACATAAACGCAGAAAGACGTAGGCCACCTCTGCCTGACTTGTACCAGGGGAGGCCTGCAGTGGAAAGCGAAGTTGAGGCCGAAGATTGCCAACGGTTTGGGGGTTGGGGGTTTAGGGTTTAGGGGGGTTCTGTGTTGAGGGCCGGAATTACTTGTTGTTGAAAGTAAAATCAGAGGGTTGTAGGAAGACTGTTGCACTTCTTGGGATTAACAGTGCTGTGACATGGCTCCAAGGCGGCTAGACATTTGAGGCTTTGTGCTTACGACTGAATCATTTGAAGCTGTTCATTCAGGTTTTCGGGTTTAGGTTCAGGGTGTTTTGGGAATTCTGACTGAGTTCGAGATCAGGGTGTGGAAGGCCAATCTTGGCAACTACAGTGCTGAAAACAATCTGAAAGAGCGTGGGTTGTAACTACCTTACATTCATAGGGACTGCAATAGGGCTCCGAGTATTAAAATATTAATACAGGGTCCTCAAGAAATGGGAGGAGATTTATTATTCATCAGGGGTCTGTATGAAGAATGAAGGTTCCGGGCTCGAGTGTCACACGCTGCGGGACCGAAGTAATGTGGAGTCCTATTCAAGTAAGTCAATTAGTAAGGCTGTGGTCAGGGTTCGTTTGTGTAGGCGTAGTATTGTATACCAGTAAAGGCCCTAGAGTGTGTTTTAAGTTTCTGGTGCTGGGATCCTGTTAGATGTGCGGTTGCAGATGACTATCTATATCTATATAATTGTGCACGTGTGCTGCGTGCACCTATACTACATGTATGTATGTACAAATGTATAAATATATATATATATATATATATATATACGTATGTATGAAGCTGTATGCATATATATATATATATGTATACATATGTAGAGAGAGAGAGAGAGAGAGAGAGAGAGAGAGAGAGAGAGAGAGAGAGAGAGAGAGAGAGAGAGAGAGAGAGAGAGAGAGAGAGAGAAAGAGAGAGAGAGAGAGAGAGAGAGAGTCTTGAAGAGGGCATCATTCGCCATGACAGAACTCCGCGACTCAACTCCGATAGAAGAACTGTTGAGCAACACAAGGGTGAAGCCTCCAAATTCGCGGCCTCATTACTTTTGGGTGCTCCTTCTTATAACTATTGTATAATGGGCCCCGAAACCCTACTCTAATTGTTAAGGCCCTCATATTACGACTTTGATCTCGTAGCGGTCACGGACCGCCTGATTAGCCGGTATTAGTCGCATCAAAGGCTCTCTGGCGCAACGATCGGAGCAAGGAGCTCTTAAGCCCTTCGGCTGCTCAGCAAGGGTTCGCCGAACTCCTGTTCAGGGATCCCTCCAGGGTTCCTTCATATGGGAGTTTCCGAAAATTAGGGGTACCTTATTTTGGGGACCAATAATAAGGATCCTACTATTTAGGGTACTATATTCGGGGCCCTCTATTTTCGGAAACTCCCATATGGAATCCTTTTGGGGTTTCTTTATGGGTCTTCCTTTGAGGGATCCTTAGGGGCTTTTCGGGAGACATGGTCGGAGTTTTGTTCTAGAAGCCCAGAGCCTGTTATATGCAGAGTTGTTGGGGTATGGACATCAAGATGTAATCATAGAGAGCCCAATCGGGCATGATCCTTGTCATGACCTCCGAGAAGCCTCTAGGGCTTCGTGTTTAGGGTTTAGTATTTAGGGTTTAGGTTATAAGATAGGGTCTAGGACCAGGAACAGAAGCCTCATAGGCTTCCAGGGCCGGTGAAGGGCTGTCGACCCCGGTTTCTCCCCCTCCATCGGGGTTCGCAGGTCCTTGGAGCAACCTCCACACCACCATCCTACCAAGAAAGCCTAAACAGCTGAACCTGTCTGCAGGAGTCCTAAAGTGCCAGAACCTTCACCTCAGTTTGTGCATGTAGGCAGACCGTGCAGACTTTTTTGTCGAATTCTCTGCTGCACGCCTTCTTTTTGCCCCTGAAGAAGAACCGTTTGGTAATGAAGGGGCACTGGTACAGGAACGATGACACCGATAGTCGTCATAAGCTGCGGCAATCCTGTTAGTGCCAGTGAGACTGGTACATCTATTTCGGTAGAGAAGGTAGTGACTTATCTTTAGCAACCGCAGAACAGACCAACAACATGGCAAACCAAAGACGCGCAGACATACACCGAAGGACATACACACACACACACACGCACACACACACACACACTCACTCTGAGTTTTCACTGGACTTTTCGCTTTCTTAACTCTACCCCACAGAAACACTCGACTCAAAACCCGAACTAAGCCCAGCACTTTAAACTCTAAACTCTTAAACCCCTCGAACTCTCGGAACCTCGGACCCCGAAATCCCTAAACCCCCAAACCCTCATGGAACCGCAGCAGGGAACTAATTCAGGAGCCGCAGCACCCCTGCAACGCCCCTACAACACCCTATAAAACACTATAAAGACTTGACGAAAATCCTATAACACCTTGTAGAAACTTGAAAAACCCTGTAAAACCCTTATGAAACCCTATGACGGCCTTAAAGGAACCCTTAAAAGCCCTCCAGGGGGCTGCTTCCTGGATGCGGCGGTCTCCGCCATCATCCTAGGGCCTGGCGATGATGCGGAAGGCCTTTCTTGGGCGTTTTGGGGTTTGGGGCTCGGAGCTTGCAGGGATTTTAGGGTTTAAGGGTTTAGGGTTTGGGGTTTAGGGCTGGGAGGTTAGAGGGATTTTAGGGTTAAGGGTTTAGGGTCTAGGAAGGTTTAGGGTTCAGAGATGTTTAGAGCTTAGAGGGTTTGGAGTTTGGGGGCTAGGGCTTAAGGGGTTTTAAGTTTATAGGGGATTGCGTTAAGGATGTGGGGTTTAGGGTCTCCTGTAGGGTGTAGGGTTCAAAAAGGAACTACTTTGGGGCCTCTGGGTAGGGTAGACCAGCACAATCCGGCACCCAGAAGCCGGTGGTCGACCGACAGCTGAGCACATGCTCCATCCTGTTCCTATCGCCGACGAAAGTTGCATCAAGTACGGCCTGTGTAGAGGGTGTCATAAGGAGTAGAACTGAGCAAAACCCCGGATGGAAAACGCAAGCCTGTTGCACTTACCAAGGCTCCTACCTTCTCCCCTGGGCTGAAGTTTGGGGTGTGCGAAACTCTCAGATTCGAGGGTTCAGGCAGCTGCCAATCTGCTGAAGATTGTGGCGACTTCGAGTCGCCTTGACGAGTTCCCGCAGTGGTTGCAGGAGTACGTGTCGAAGGACACCAAGAAGCCCAGAGACTCCAATATCCCTGAATTAAGGAATATTCCTCAAATCATATAAGGGATCCTACTATAATTTAAGGAATATTCCTTAATGAAGGGATATTGGAGTCTCTGGGAGACACAAATGATCAGTTGCTTCAGGAATGTGGGCAGGTGATGTCGCAGAAGAGGCAGCAAGGACTCATAGCTCCAGATCCGAACTGCGTTGACGGAGTTCTGTTCCTCATGGCCAAAACCCCAAACCCCAAACCCTAAACCGTAAGCCAAGAGCAAGCAGGAATGGGCCCATGGTTCCAAGGAGACACCTACACGCTCACGGGAACCGTTGATGAGGTGAGCGCTTTAAGCTTAAGGGACTATCCTTAACCCTGAAGCTCCCAATAGCAATAAATGTGGGGGTTTCCGAAAATAGGGGACCCCTAATATAGTACCCTAAATAGTAGGATCCTTATTATCAGGACTCCAGAATAAGGTACCTCTAATTTTGGAAACACCCCATGTATTTTTGTACTGGATTTCAGACCCGGTCCCCAAAGTATGGGTGATTGGTGTTTGTTTACTTTGAGTCTTCGGGTTCGAACGCTGTGTTTTCTGGGTTTCAATCGACTGGGATCGTCGAGTTCGTGGTTGGGGTTTCTGGGTTTAGTGGAATGTCGGGGTCGGGGAGGGTGCAGGGTCTTCGCTCTATGATGTTGTTCGGGAATGTGTTCTAGGCTCCAGCGCATTGAAAGTTGCTGCCGGCGACTGCAAACCCGAAAGCATAGCAGGTTATGACCCCAAGAATGATGAGGCAGAAGCCTTGCAGCAGTCGGTTTCTTGATCCACAGGTCAACCCTTCTAGACTTCAGGTAATTGAACTGGCATCTTTCCATCAACACACTCTAGGATCTTATAGAACCCGGACCTTCCAACATCCCTTAATTAAGGAATCTACTTTAGTTCATATTATGGGTCCTACTACAATCTAAGGTATATTCATACAGTAGCGGCTAGTAGCCTTAAACCCCAAAGGAAGCGCATGGTGCCGGGAACTCACCCTCAGCTGGCTCCGAGGACCCTGCTGGCTCTTTCCCTGTCGGCAGCCCCCCGAAGAGGAAGGCGACCGGGTGATTTGGTTTAGGGTTTATTGCTTAGGGGCCAAAAAAGACCCGATTGGGATTTGTAGGTTCAGGATTTAGGATTTAGGGTGTGTGGTGCAGGGGTCAAGGTCCCTATTATACCATTCGTGCGTATAAACACATGCTTTTATACATATATACACATAAAAAATGTGTTTATAATTATTTGCTAAGATTTCTGGGTGTATGTTTGTACTAAGCGGCTATGTACATGTATATGAAGTTATACACGGTTTTAACAGTAGAATGTTTCGTCATGTTGCATCATGAACTACTACTTAAACTGCCTACTGCCGTACAGGAAAATGCGCTTCAACAGCCCAAGCCCGCAGCCTTGCATGCCCGAAAGGGAATCAGTATCGGAGTCTGCAGACTAGCTTCAGGATGCGAGGTTCAGTGGTATATTACGGAATATATGTAGTGTAAGTATACCCGGACTGTATGGGAGTATTGGTACCTCATATCTAGGTCTTTACACCTGGATTCCTGTTGAAAGAGGTGGGACGCTGTTCGCCTGTCCCCAAAGACTCCAAAGCACCGTTTGAAGCATTGTACCAACAATTTGGAGGGATCCTTGCTGTATCCCGGGGTTTTCGGGATCTTAGGCGGGATCCTTGTTTTTTCCCGGAGTTTTCGGGATCTCTTGGCTGTATAAGGGTCTTGGGTGTCAGAGAGCCACTTGACATCGGCGTTTGGCCTCAATGCTATTCAACCAGTTGGCCAGTTGGCTCATAACATGTGCGAAAAGAGAAAGAGAGAGAGAGAGAGAGAGAGAGAGAGAGAGAGAGAGTGTGTGTGTGTGTGTCGGCAAGCAGGGAGGGCCCAGGCTAACCTGTGGGCCCCATAGCTGGCTGGCCATGACAAATCTTTTACTTCCGCTTGTCGTACGTAGCCTTGGGCCAAACACGCTTTAATGGTTCACTGCAAGGAGGCCAAAGACGCTCTAGTGGTTAGCTGTTGCTGTAAGGATGTTCTGACCTAGACCCCATTGCACTAAACTCTGGGCTCGAAAGCCAAACCTTACTAATGCCCTTGCCCAAACTCCTGAAATGTTGTTTTTTGTTGACCTAAAGCAGTTATTTAGCCCTACATTATAAACCTTACCCAAGGGCCCTGCGCTTGCAAAAAAGAATCTAAACCTTAAGCCGTCAGAAGGTGAGCCGCTGGGTGTACCAACCACAGAGCAGGTCGTCGAGGCAGGGATTCTCTTGCTTACCTTTGGTTAATAGGGAATTGAAGAATCGTAGTAGTAGTAGAAGTAGTCGTAGTAGTAGTAGTAGTAGTAGTAGTTGTAGTTGTAGTTGTAGTTGTAGTTGTAGTTGTAGTTAGTAGTAGTAGTAGTAGTAGTAGTAGTAGTAGTAGTAGTAGTAGTAGTAGTAGTAGTAGTAGTAGTAGTAGTAGTAGTAGTAGTTATAATTGTGCCCCATTCCTCCATTCCCTACTAACCAAAGGTAAGCTTGGGCTTCTTTACGGTGCAGGGGCCGTTTGCTTCAGGGTTTTCTACTCTCAGCGGTTGGGTTTAGGGTTTTAAATCCTAGGGTTCCTTTACGGTTTAGGGGGAGGCTGGGGTGGGGTGCGCGGTATCGTCGTCGGATCTACATGGGCTTCCGTGAGTTTCTGTCTGTCCGCATTTCGAATTTCGCGTTTCCGACATTATCGGGGCAAAGGATGCAAGATTCAGGAAGTAGTTTTAGGGTTTAGGGTTTCGGGTTTATAGGGTTTAGGGATTAGGGGTTTAGGGTTTAGGGTTGACACAGGGAGTGGATCAATATGGATCAATGTGAATTCAAGCTTCGAGGGCAACCCTGCAAAACCGTTGCGAAACACATGCAGACTCCCATTGTAATGAATCCCTCATGTTATCCCGTAAAACCTCATTGAGATTTCATAAACTCACATAAAGCCCAGGAAACCCTCATAAAACCTATGATGCTTCAGGGTGCAAGGGTGAGGATATAGGGTTCAGGCTTAATAGGATGGAGAGTTTCGTGTTCATACCAGGTATACAGCGTTCAGGGATCACATCGTATACCTTACCCTGCAGTTTATATATCACATCATACCATGCAATAGCGACACCGTTCCATAACATACCCTTCCATACTTTCCATTCCATTCCACACCCGCCCGCCATACCATTCCATACCATGCCATACCATATCATTCCAGACCCTTCCGTACCGTACCCTACCCTACCCTGCCCGACACTACCCTACCCTGTATCATACCATTCCATATGATTCCATACCATTCCATATGTAGGACTTGAGCTAATCAGGCGGCCCCAGCGCAGGTATTTTATTGCAGGTTTGAAGACCTATCGTAATTATGTCCCCAGTTTATTCAGCCCTGACGTGCGCAGCCAGAAGCAGGTCCGGCGGCGACCTCTATCTGCAGCCCAGACAGTGAGCGTCACGCACTTCGCCTTTATAATTTAGGTGTACGCGTGGTTTCAGTCACGTTAAACTGGTTAAACCCTGTGATCACGGGATCACAACCCGCCACTTTGTAGAGTTTCGGTCTACAGAGATTTTGTTTTTTTGGCGGAAATGAGTTTTTGAGTTTGTTTTGGGTTTAAGCTTTTGTTTGAGAGGGGCAGGGGTCAGGGTTATAGAGGTTTGGGTGTTCTTTGGCCCCGAAAACTCTTATTGACCCAGGAAACCAGACCCTAAACTAGCATGCAGGCCCATCTGAAACCCTATGGCCCATGGCCCCTAAACCCTAGACTCCCTATACCCTAAACCCCTTATGCTCGCCCCAGTCATGAACCGCTTGCAAAATCCCGTGGGGCTTGCAGGGTTTAGAGCCTAGGGTCTATAGAGGGATTTTAGTTTAGGGTTAAGCGTTTATGTTGTTTCAGGGAAAGTTGAAAAGGTCTTGCCAGTTTCGGGGATTGTGCGTTGGAATGGCTCTACAGGGAACTCCAGAAAGTTGGAATATGGTTTCATGGTAGGATACCCTATAATTTGCCATAGAAGGGTTAGGATAATCATATTCCAACTTTCTGGCTTTTACCCTCTGTTATGGGAGCTTCGGGTTCTTCTTGAAACAAGGGCTTGGGGCAATTTACAGTATGAATAATTCATGTCTAGACAGGGGCTATATGGGGATGCTATCACTATTACCAACTAGTCAGACCACCACATGCACGCAAAAATACGATTCCTCTATAGATGCTCTTTTGACCTGTACTGCATGTCCCTGTGCCCTTAACGACGAAACTGATTGAAATAGCTCGATGGTTATATTTTGAGGCCTTAAGATAGCCTTAAACCCCAGACACTGGAGCGGAAAGAGCTTTAAGCCTCGATTGAGGTTCACTGGTGCTGATGGCACGGAGCATCATGGCTGAAAGTTGGCAAGGCAAGGTGTAGTGTTTTTTTATCCTTGAACTTACCATGTTTTCTTGTTTCTTTTTAAGAGCCCTTTAAAGGCACCGAAGTCGAGTTGTGGAAGGCCCTGTGTCCGCAACCCGAGCTGCGAAGCAAAGCAGCCCATCGTCCAGTGTGGGGTTTAGGATTCAGGGGCTCAGGGTTGAGGGCAGTTTAGGGTCTAGGGTTTTTGGGGTTTTTGGGGGTTGAGGGTAGTTTAGGGTTTAGGATTCAGGAGTTTAGGGTTTTTGGGGTTTAGGGTTGAGGGTAGTTTAGGGTTTAGGATTCAGGAGTTGAGGGTTAGGGGTTTAGGGTTGGGGGCCAGTTTAGGGCTCAGGATTCAGGGGTTTAGGGTTTTTAGGGGGTTTAGGGTTTTAGGGGCTGTTAGGATTCAGGATGTAGGCTTTAACATATGTAGACCGGACAGAGTAGTTTGTTTTTGCTCATCGTTCCGGGTGTGGGTGACAGGCCGATGCACTGTCTCAGCTACGTCTAAGCCAGAATAGGCCCTTATTCCCTTTTTTCAGGTTAAGGTTCCCTTATAATTCCCCTTAAACCAAAAAGGGCACCCTTTTTATTCCGAGGTTACTCTTACGTCTAGAAAATGTAGACGAACTGTGCATCCGGTTTGTGTTCAGTGCTTCATCATGGGCGCTTGACGCGTAACTACGGGTTCGTTCCCTGTTGTCAGATCTCGAGCAGGTCTGGGTGCTGTTCTTGATGGCAGGGGTTCTTGGCGGCTGTGTGGTGCGGCTCACATGCACACGCCTCAAGTCTTTGGCCTAGTGCCTCAGGATACAGATATTTCCAGCAGGACATCACGCAGGTCTTTTTAGAACCCTATTCTTTGGGTATTGCCCGCACTGTGTAATAGTTGGATGGTTTTCATAATGTTATTGTATACTGTCATAATACAGCCCTTATTAAGACCCCTAATGTAAGTTACAGGGTGCGGGCTGTACCCAGCCTATTCTACTACTTATTACAGGCCTCTATATTGCCCTTTGCAGGAACCCAGTTCCAAAAAATCAGGCCCGGCATTAAGTTTGCCTTGTTGTTGCTTTTCTCCGTCCGAGGCTTTGCCACGAGCATGTGCGGGTAGATGCTGCCCACTGGACCCCGCGAACTTTGTTCCTAGCCGGTGGGGAGTATGTCGCGGAGGCAGGTGGTCTAGGGTTTCGGGGATTCGGGTTTAGGGGATTCGGCTTTAGTGCCCAATAGTCAGATAAAAGTAGTAAAGGTAGCTTAGGCTTAGTGTTTAGCTGGGGTATAGGTACCTGGACCCTCACAGTTAGCGCGTGACCCCTAAAACTCTAAACCTTCAGAGCTCTAAACCCTGAACCCTGTTTATCAACCTTATGAGCCCTAAACCCTAAGCCCGAAATCGTAAACTCTCTCCTGGCTTTTCCAAGCTTTCCGTCCCGTGCTGTTGCCTTCGAAGATCCACTTATAGGAGCCTCAGAGCTTTTGGGTTTAGGGTTTAGGGTTTTAGGGTTTTAGGGTTTTAGGGTTTAGGGTTGAGGGTTTTAGGGTTTTAGGGTTGAGGGTTTAGGGTGGCTTTTTTCGGTGTGTAGGGTTTGAGTTTCCGTCGGACATTCGTCAGTTCGGTGGTTCAGGGTTTGGGGGGTTGAGGGATTAAGAGCCCGCGGGCACACAAGTATCGGCGATTGCAACCCTTGGATTGGTCTTTCAAAAAAATGGGCCCGTCATGCCCTGAGCCATGAAGATGGCTGGTTCCTCCTATCCACCGTCCGGACCAGCACGGTCATGCTGCCGAAAACCGTCATGTCTCAATTGGCAAAGCATGCCTTTCTGGCTTTCCCACACAGGCAGAGACTTCAGCAGGGGCGTGCTCGTGTCGAAGTTGGGCATAGCTTTAAGTTTTAGGGGACGAGTCTGCTCTCAAGCAAATGCACGAGAACAAGGGGGCAAGCGGCGATGCAGCATGCTTCTTCTGTCAGAACATCCTCTCGAAGAGGTGGGCCCCTGAAAGCATGGATGCGAAGTTGGCACTGCATGCCTGCGCACATCGCTCTCGCCTCGTGCTACACACCAAGGAGGGAGTCACAGTCTACCAGACACTTGACCACTTGACTACCGAGTCGGCGAGGCTAACAAAAGAGGAATGCCAGCACTGAAAAGAACATGTTTTAGATATATTAGGACCTGAATAGTAGCCCTACAAAAGACTGTTACTGCATGGGGGCAGTACCCAAGATTTAAGTATGCCGGTCCGTATGTTTGCTTCTTGTTCCGGTACCCCGCTTGTGCTTTCTGCCTCTTGGGGTTAGGAACTCGAAGTCTCTCCATCAGCCTTGTGAGTCATAAGGGACCCTAACCCCTGCACCCTCAGCCCCAAAAGTCCAATTAACCCTACATCCGAAAAAGACTCAAAACAACAAACCCTCCAAAGTATCTAGGCCCAGCCATGCCCAAAGCTCAAAAAGTTGCTAAGTTGCTAAGCTCTTCTACCCTTCCTTTTGTCACGTTCGGTCCTTGGTGTGGGAGCGAAGAAGGTGGGGGCCCTGAAAGCCAATCCGACTCTGCTTATAAGGTTTAGGATTTAGGTTCAGGGTTTAGGGTTCAGGGTTTAGGGTGTAGGGTTCAGGGTTTAGGGTTTAGCCTCTCATGTGTTTAGTAGAGGCCCTCCCTAGCCGTTCTGTCTGGCAGCAGTCTGTTTGCAACCACCTTGGCGCCCCCATTCCAGTGCTGCATCGCGCGCCCGTGCTGTGCATGTTCGGAACGAAACATGTCGAGGAAGCACGCAGTCATTCTCACTGGGAGGGGATGTGCTGTGCAGGTCACGCCGACTTGCGTGCCGGCCTTGGAAGTTGCATTCCAAAGGTTCGGGCAGTAGTATAGGGCCCAAATAAGTAGCAACACTGAGCTACTATTCTTTAGCAAGACCCTATTCCAGTCCCTGAGCTACTAAGGCCACCACAGTCTAGTTGTTCAGTTGGCGGGTGTGGGGTGGGCAGCTTCCGTACTTCTCAAGACCTGGGCTTAGCCCCTGCGTGGTGCCCCATGCTGAGCCAAGGGGTTTCTGACTTGAACTCAAAAGCCCAAAACCCATAAAGCCTTCAAGCCTAAAACCACCTCCCCCCCCCAAACCCTCAAACCCTCAGCCCCTAAACCCTAAACCCTCAAACCCCTAGACCCTCAATTCAGGACTCGAGGCCTCGATATGGTTTGATCTCAATTTGGGGTTGGTCTGGGATTAGGGAGGCTTGATGGCATGTGCGCAGAAGCTTCAATAAAAGCGTCCTTACAAAGGCTCACTCTAGACTCGAGTATCTCATAAACAAGCTGCTGCTATGTGGAGGAACTCTGCAAAACAGAGCCTAAGGAAAATGGCTCTCAAACCATTTTTAAAGCAAGCGCATGACTTTACCCTGAAATCCTACCTTCAATCGCGTAAAGCCGAATATTAATAAAGGTCGAAATAACTACTGGTAGTACTCCTTCTATAGTCTGCATTAATTAAGTTATACCATCATATACCCCGAAATCCTGTTGTCATTACTACCCAAAGGCCCCAAAGTAGTTCCTTTTTGGGGTTCATATATAGAATCCTCTAGTGGACTCCCAAAAAGGAGCTACTTTGGGGCCTCTGGGTAAGGCCCCCAGGTTGAAGTGTTCACGAGCGCAGAGCCTTGCATCTCCCACGCCCTACACTCCGAAAGGCAGAGACGCGCATGGTGGAAGATTCTAAGAGTCGGAATAACCCAAAGGATCCTATGTACCGATATAGTGGAATGTAGGGTTTCCATATTATGAATTACTAGTATGACTTAGGGAAGTATCCCCCATACCTGTACATAGGACCCTTTGGGTAAGTCGAGATGCTATTCCTGGAAGCTCCTTATGATAGCTCCATTTAGGCAAGATCTACCGCGGCTAAGCAAGATCTACCACGGTCCCCCCCAAAAAAAGCAAAACTCGGACCATCAACTCAGGACTCCTATGCCTCAAATGCTTCGCCTAGATCCTAAACCCCCCGACATGCGAGAGCAACGAACCGGTGGCCTGAACCCCATAAGACTGCATACCTAAACCCTAGAATTAAGGACTTGTGCTTAGGATCCCATAGTAAGGAACTAGGACAACCAAGTATGGTACTCATCGTTACGGTCTAGATGCACCCCGAAACCCAAAACCCTCCATCCTGGACACCTTTAACTCCCAAATTCCTGAAGCCCTAGATTCCTACACCCGGAACCCTCAAACCAACCGGGCGCATCAGGGTCGTTATAAGTAGGGTTACAAGTCCCGCAAAATGGGTTGTAACTATGTCTTAAGGGTGGACTTCTGGACCGTGTTAGAGACCAAGAACCATAAATGAGGACTACTTGGACTTTTTATGGATAGCTATCCTACTTAAAACTAATCCCTAAACCCAAATCCCCTTAGGAACCCTATAAACCTTAAACCCTAAACCTAACCGGGAAAAGCCGCGAAGCTCAGGACTTTGTCGTCAAGTCCTGCCTTCCCGATCGAGCCGCATCGGATCAGCTGGAGCTCCGGCGGTTCGTTGTTGTTCTTCGGTTCTTCGGTTTTCTGTCACTTGTTTATGACATAAGTAATCTATGTGTTATATCGTGTTATACTGTTTTTGCTATTGGTAGGTTATGCTCTGTCATGTTATACTATACTAATTACTGCATTATATAGTAATTCGTATTGTTTTAAGGGGAGGTGGAGGGTGGGGTGGGTGTTAGGCTCCAGGGGTTTAGGGCTTAGAGCTTGTAAGACTTCGGAGTTTATGGTGAAGGGCTTCAAGAGTACCTATACTAATTAATCCGGTAGGGTTCCTTGCTGCAACTGTAGCATCGTATATCCCCGAAACCTGAGGAGAACAATGTTCTATTCAGTGAGCTCCAGCAGTAGACCCTGAAGACTAACACTTAAAGCAATCCCTTTGAAAGAACCCTTAGGGTAAGCCCAGCTTGCCTTAAACCCTTAACCCCTAAACCGATAAACCGCAAAACCCTCAACCCCTACACCCTAAACCCTAAACCTTTGCAAGGAAGTTTGGGCAATCCAGGGCCGCGTCGAAGCCTCCCGGCTGGTGTCAGAGCCTCGGGAAGATGCCTCAGGGGGCTCCTTTTCGGGTTTGTTTAGCGAATCTTTTTACATCTTCCTTTCACGGATCTATATTACTAGGTTCTGGAGATTGAGAAATCCTACTTCAGGGGTCAGGGTTTTAGAGTTTGGGGCTTGAGGGTGTTAGGAAACCCCAAGCGGCCGAAATTGACCGAGAAATGACGTTTTTTTTGGTTTCGGACAGTAGTAGCCATGTGGGGCTGCATATGGGTGGTTGTCAAAATCGTGGTCCTTTTTTTTAGGGTACCCTAAATATTAGGTGCCGCATTATAATAAGGACCCAAAAAAGGACCCTAATATTGACAACCACCCATATGATGACCATGATCCGGTATTTGGAGCCATCTATCTCATCGGGTTACAAAAATGCGGAACAAGATGGGGCTGTAGCAGCAAGCCTGTATGCATGTTGCATTGTTGCATGTATGCCTGCCTGCTTGTCTGTCCGTCTGTGTGTTTGTATGTATGCATGTGTGCGTCTATGTATGTGTTTATGTATGTCTGTATGTGTGTATGCATGTATGTTTCTATGTATCTATGTATCTATGTATGTAGGTTATGTATGTGTATGTATGTGTGTTTCGCATGCGTGTGTGTGTGTGTGTATGTGTGATTATGTGTGTGTGTGTACGTATGTACGCAGGTATGTATGTATGTATGTATGTATGTGAGTATGCAAGTATGTATGTATGCATGTACGTATGTGTGGTTGTTTATGTATATATGCATGCATGCCCTTGGCTGGCTGGCTCGCTGGATGGATGGATGGATGGATGGATGGATGGATGCTTTCCTTCTTTGTTTGCTGCGGATCTGTCTCTCCTCGCTCTCTCTCTCTGTTTCTCTCTCTCTCTCTCTCTCTATATATATATATATAGATAGATATACACATGTGTATATATATATATACACATGTATATATATATATATATATGTATATATACACATGCATGTATATATATATACATATATATATATATATATATATATGTATACATACACACATATACATGTATACGTATATGTATATGTATATATGTTTATGTACAAACATATGCAAGTATACGTTTATGTAAGTACATGTATATGTGTATGCACACATACATATACATATATGTAAACTCACACACACATATATGTATATATACATACACACAGATAGACTTACCTGTACTTAACGCCCGACACACCCTAGTCCCAAACCCAAGTTTACGCCTGTCGTCCGTGACTGCAGTTCGGATTTATTTTCGTGCCCACGTGATTTATGGAATGGAGTGCATGACACAGGCTGAACTGTGTAACATTTATGGTACTATATCATGCACTGAGACAGTTGGTGTGGCCAAGAGTGGTAGTTAACTGATAGGTAAAATGAATGAACATTTGTTTATTTTTTGAGCCCCGACACTCGACATGTGGATTCACAGCCGGCGTCTTCATCATGCCACTTCTCGTTGAAGTAAGCCTCATAAGTGGCAAGACGGTGTCGCTGCAGACAGACGGGGACGAATCCGTGGAATCACTGCGAGTGCGGGCGCAGAAAGCTCTGGGAGCAGGCAAAGGTCGCCTGTTGGACTCCACCGGAAGCGTTCTGGACGGAGGATCCCCGCTAAAGAAAGCCAGGCTGGGTTTTGTTTTTGGGCTCCATCGTTATAACAATAATAAGGAACCCTAAGGAAGAATATGGGTAGGTATTCAGGGTCTAGGGGGGTTCAGGCTGCAGAAAGTGGCGAAGGAGCCGGAGCCCCTTACATTGCAAGCTCGAAGAGTCGATATATGTGGTAGATGGGCGGCCTTTGCTGCCATCATTGGGGATGGCTCCAGCGTGGCCTGGGGCAATGTTCATTTTGGCGGTGACAACAGTGGTGTCCGACATCAGCTGAAGAATGTGCAGCAGATTCAAGCAACCGAGCGGGCCTTTGCCGCCATCCTCGGGGATGGCTCTGTTGCGACCTGGGGTGATGCTGGCTACGGTGGTGACTGCAGTGCTGTGCGAGATCGGTTGGAGAATGTGCAGCAGATTCAATCGAACACGGGGGCTTTTGCTGCCATTCTTGGGGATGGCTCCGTGGTGACCTGGGGTGATGGCGACTTCGGTGGCAACTGCAGCGCGGTGCGAGATCAGCTAAAGAATGTGCAACAGATTCAAGCAACTGACGGCGCCTTTGCTGCCATCCTTGGGGATGGATCCGTCGTGACATGGGGCGATGCTGATGGCGGTGGTGACTGCACAGCTGTGCGAGATCAGCTGAAGAATGTACGACAGATTCAATCAACTGAAGAAGCCTTTTGTGCCATCCTTCGGGATGGCTCCGTTGCGACCTGGGGTGACGCTGGTTACGGAGGTGACTGCAGTGTGTTGCGAGATCAGCTGGAGAATGTGCAACAGATTCAAGCAACTGAGGGAGCCTTTGCTGCAATCCTGAACAATGGCTCTGTGGTGACCTGGGGCGATGCTGGCGGCGGTGGCGATAGCAACGCCATCCGAGATCATCTGAAGGATGCGCAAAAGGTTCAAGCAACCACGCACGCGTTTGCCGCTATCCTGAACAATGGCTCTGTGGTAACCTGGGGCGATGCTGGCTGCGGTGGCGACTGCAGTGCGGTGCGAGATCAGCTAAAGAATGTGCAGCAGATTCAATCGAACACGGGGGCTTTTGCTGCCATTCTTGGGGATGGCTCCGTGGTGACCTGGGGTGATGGCGACTTCGGTGGCAACTGCAGCGCGGTGCGAGATCAGCTAAAGAATGTGCAACAGATTCAAGCAACTTACGGGGCCTTTGCTGCCATCCTTGGGGATGGATCCGTCGTGACCTGGGGCGATGCTGATGGCGGTGGTGACTGCACAGCAGTGCGAGATCAGCTGAATAATGTGCAGCAAATTCAAGCGACTGCAGTGGCTTTTGCTGCGATCCTTGGTGATGGATCCATCGTGAGCTGGGGCGGTGGCACCGGTGGTGACAGCAGCAGTGTGCGAGATCAGTTGAAGAATGTGCAGCAGGTGAAATCGAACCAAGGGGCCTTTGCTGCGATGCTTGCGGACGGCTACACCGTGACTTGGGGTGCTTCTGTCTCTGGTGGTGACAGCAGTGCCATGCAAGATCAGCTGAAGACTGTGAAGCAGATTCAAGCAACTTGGCGGGCCTTTGCTGCGATCCTTGGGGATGGCTCCGTGGTGTCCTGGGGCCGGCCTGACTTCGGTGGTGACAGCAACGCGGTGCGAGATCAGCTCACGAATGTGCAACAGATTCAAGCAGCTTGCTTTGCGTTTGCTGCGATTCTGAAGGATGGCTCTGTGGTAACATGGGGCCATGCAAACGGCGGTGGTGACTGCAGCGCTGTGCGAGATCAGCTGAAAAATGTGCAACAGATTCAAGCAACTGACTTGGCCTTTGCAGCGATCCTTGGTGATGGCTCCGTGGTGACCTGGGGCCATGCTGGCGGCGGTGGTGACAGCAGTGCTATGCGAGATCAGCTAAAGCTAACGAATGTGGAGCAGATTCAGGCAACTTCCGGGGCGTTTGCTGCCATCCTTGGGGATGGATCCGTTGTGGCCTGGGGCCATGCTGGTTCCGGTGGCGACTGCAGCGCTGTGCGAGATCAGCTGAGGACTGTACGACGGGTTCAAGCAACCAGGCACGCCTTTTCCGCGATCTCTAGGGATGGATTCGTGGTTACTTGGGGGGATGCTGGCTGCGGTGGCGACTGCAGTGCGGTGCGAGATCAGCTATCGAATGTGCAGCAGATTCAAGCAACCGACGGCGCCTTTGCTGCCATCCGTGGGGATGGATCCGTCGTGACCTGGGGCGATGCTGATTGCGGTGGTGACTGCAGTGCTGTGCGAGATCACCTGAAGAATGTACGACAGGTTCAATCGACTGGAAATGCCTTTTGTGCCATACTTCGGGATGGCTCCGTCGTGACCTGGGGCGATGCTGGCTGCGGTGGCGACTGCAGTGCGGTGCGAGATCAGCTGAAGAATGTGCAGCAGATTCAAGCAACCAGGCACGCCTTTGCTGCGATCCTGAACAATGGCTTTGTGGTAACCTGGGGGGACGGCGGCTTCGGTGGCGATTGCAGTGTGGTGCGAGATCAGCTGAAGAACGTGAAACAGATTCAAGCAACTGACGGGGCCTTTGCAGCGATTCTTGGGGATCGATCCGTCGTTACCTGGCCCGGTGGTGACTGCAGTGTTGCTCGAGATCAGCTGAGCGACGCGTAGCAGATTCAGCCAACTGATGGGGCCGTTGTTGCATTCATTGGGGATGGCTCCGTCGTCGCTTGATCCATGTGGGATTCGGTGGTGACGGCTCTGCGAGATCAGCTGCACAGCAACTGCAAGCAGCAAACGAGACGGTTCGATACATGATCATGCACGTCTTCTGTTCTTGCGCATGCTACCATCTTCCCTTGTACCCTACTATAGGGGCCGTAATAATTACCTACATCATTTGGGGGTTCCATAGTAATATATCTATCAAGTATATTGGGCCCAAAACCCCCCTCTAATGATTCAGGCCCTACATAAACCCTAAACCCTAAACCCTATATTACCCTAAATTCCCTGAGCAGTGTGGGTTGAGATGCTCCAAGTTGGGCTTCCCAGGTCTTTTGTTTGAAGTTAACCCTAAGCCCTCGGCTCTGAACCTCGCAGCTGTTATAGTACAGATACCTGAATCATCGCCACTATTATTCCTTAGGGTTCCGTATTATGACTTTACTGTAAAAATTACAAGACCCCAAAAAACTTTATTAAACACTGTTAAGGCCCTTATATTATGTTAGTCTTGTCCTCCTGAGGTTCGCTATTCCACACGTCGCAACCCCTAAACCCTAAAGCCCTTCAAAAACAATTTTCCCCTCACCCTAAACCGTAAGGTCCTCATTTTAAGGCCCCGAAATTGTAGTTTGTCATCGTAGGTTCGTTTTATCAGCTGAGGCTTGCGCGCACCGTGGGAAGAGAGAGGGCAAAGCGCGCACCGCGGAAACCCAAACCGTACAACGCTAAACCCTGAACTCGAAACCCTAAAGCCCTAAGCTCTAAACCCTAAACCCTAAACTCTAAACCTAAAGCCCTAAAACCTCAAACGAGCCTGAGTGGCCCTCGACTGCGAGTCTAGAGCTCACACCCAATATCCTACGGCATTAGAGTTTAGAGTTTGGGTTTTCTTTTATATCAGGCTTGCTATACAGGCTCATGAAACGAACGAGAAGTTTGTTGCTGAGTAGGTGAGTGTTTACGGGGTTTAAATCCAATGATACCTCAACGGAAGGATCAATCTCGTTTGGGCCGGCTCGATGTTTAAGGTTATGGATCTGGTGTGTTCTGAAGGTGCTGCCGCGCCCCCATCTAGTAACATATCCCAAACCACAGTTGTAGCTCTTATGATCTCTACCTATAGTCTCCATTGTAGTTCCTTTTTTTGGTTAACCAGTTTTATGGTTAGGATCTTTTTTATATAGAGTTTCTGGTTAACCAAAAAAAGGAACTACAATGGAGATCAATGGAGACTATAGGTAGAGTCTAGAGTAGCTTCACGAGGCTGCGGCGCCCCCGGTCCTTCGTGCGCCGCAATACCCAAGAGCCTCGATTGGCATCTGTGGCGCCAGGCGCGGGCGTTTACCGGCTTAGGCGCTAGAGATGGGAAGTTTGGGTTTCAGGGGTTTGAGCCAGGATTTGGAGGTTTAGAGGTTTAGAGCGGTTTAGGGTTTAAGAGTTTGCCAGAGTCTTGGGAATTTTATTGGTAGGGTTCTGTCGCACCTGCGAGGTACAGAATAACCCGAAACCTTAAAGGGTCTATCGGGACCTGGGACCGAAACGTCCTGGTAGGAATCAGGATTAAGTGGTGAAAGCTTATGGGAATTGCGGTTCAAAGCCCTAAATCTTGAGCCCGCTGAGGCTTTAGGGCGGGTTTGAAAACAGGAAGCACAGGTACCGATGCAATGGGATTCTACACGTACGGCGGGCATGCACTTTACATGTATGTACACACGCATACTATGTACATATAACCATAGCATACACATATATGGGTATGTAGCATTCCGGGTTTTCAACATTCCGCATGACACTAACAGTCATAGTCGTTTTGTTGTCAAGGCAAGAGTACCGGTTCTAAGTATAAGTATCTATATGTCTGTGTATGGATCGTTTCAGTACATATCTATACGTTCACCTAGTGCAGCATAATAGCCATAAGAAGACTATATATATATACATATATATATATGTATGTATGTATGTATGTATGTATGTATACATATGTAAATATACAGATATATAAACATACTTACATGTGTATTTATATATATATATATATATACATATGTTTGTTTGACTATATATGTAATGACTGAAGCTTCACTGTAATGCTACTTCTGTACATCTGCATATAGTGCTCCAACGGAACTATCATACACGAGTATGCATGGTTCTACTAGGTTGTAATGTATAATGTGTCAAACTAGTGTTTATGCTTTTACACAAATACAAACTCATATAGACATGCATTCTGCTGGTTTGTATTGTTTCACAGTTCGCGATAGTTTAGTGTATTGTTTCATGATCCTGTCCATTAGTTTGGATTTCACTTTATCACATTGCCCTGTGCTTTGTCTCATGCTGTTCCATGTTGCATATGTCATGTTCTTGATAAGTGCTTGTAGTATGCCACAGATATACCTGTACATCATACCATATACTGCTGCATCTTCCCATGCCACATTACGGCATGTTCTACAGAATTCCACCATACCGTGGTGCATCGTATTGTACTGTATTTCATCATGTCATCTTATGCTACCATGTTTTTGTTTTACGACGACCTATCGTAGCTTGTACTCATCTTGTATGTCATTTTAAGATGTTGGAGTTCATGTCGTTTTACTGTACTGTATCACGAGATATGTGTATATGTAAACACACATATGTGTCTGTGTGTCATGCTGTAGTGCTTATGCTAAGTATATGATACTAAAACTCTGTGTTGTCAAACGACATATCAAGTCAACTGACATATCAAGTTCTATCATCGTATATAACACAGTAGACTTTTGAATTTGTCGCCTCTTGTTGTAGTCAAATTGTTTTGTTGCATGGTCTTTCATGTGTTTTGACAGTTATACTATGTTTTACGGTATATGATGCCGTTCTGTATTATGCTATGTTATGCGTTGCCATGGTATGGGCCAAAGCCCAGAAATCCAGGCTAATCCTCAAAACTGGCATCCCTGGCAGTGGCCACTCACATAAGTACGTATTATTCTTCTCAGAGTTATACTCTGTAGGTATTGTGCCGTAGCATATAACCTACTATATGTACTCAAGCCGTCGACCCCGAATCCTAAGCCCTAAAGAACCTTACACCCTAAACCTTAAACCCTACAAACCGTACACCCTACACCTTAAACCTCAAACCCTAAACCCAACCTTAACCCTGAATAACCTACCCTTTTAGGGTTCCTTATTATGATTTCTTTATATAAGTCCTTAAAAAGGTAGGTCCTTCAGGGTTAAGGAAAACCCTAAGCCTCGAATCCAAAACCACAGCTGGCGAGGCCGATGGAGCGGCTCGGTCACGCGTTTGCTCGGCAGCTCACGCCCCTCGACCTTCACTGGGTCTCAACTGTAGCTCTTCGGGTTTAGGGTTTACCCATAGGCCCCAAAGTAGTTCCTTTTGGGGATTACCTTATAGGATTCTATACTTCAATGAGTCTCAACTGTAGCTCTTTGGGTTTAGGGTTTAGAGTATAGTATAGGCCTTGTATGGTTTTAGGTTTTGGGTTTATAAGGTGTTTAACAGGGTTTGCCGTGGACTAGCGCGTAGGCGATAGTATCTTGCGACAAGGTTGGGTCGGGTGCATCGCCCTATGGGGTTTGGGGTTTAGGCTTCCAGAGGGTCTCAAGTATTGGGTTTAGGGTTTAGGCCTCCGGAGGGTCTCAAGCAAGGTTTGTATTGTTTTGGATTTAGGTACCCGCAGCATCCGTTAAAGTGGTCCCAGTTTTCTGATGAGCAGGAGGTTTAAGCAATGCTCTGGCTTTGCAGACAGCTTGAGGTTGACCTGTGCAGATGTGCGTTTGCTTTATTGGATAAATAGTACAAGTTGTGCAAAGAGACACAGAAACGGTGGAAAGGTTCTGGGACGTCTGCTGCGGAAAACTCCCGGAGAAGAAGCGGAGGGCCAGAAATCAGCCTCGGGGCTTCCTCATTATGTTGTCCCTTCCCTAAGGCCCCAAAGTAGTTCCTTTTGGGGCTTCATATTAAGAATCCTATGAGGTAATCCCTAAAAGGAACTACTTTGGGGCCTATGGGTTGTGAACAGAAAAAGGCACAACATTGAAGACGGGAAGTCGCATTCCGGACACGGTCTTGGAACTGAACGAGTTCTCCAGGGCAGCTCCAGATTCCGTGTCGAGTTCATCCTTGCCGAGCCGAAGAAACTCTTTGCGACTTTCGGCCTCGACCCCCGCAGTTCGGGAGAGCAAGTACGGTCAGGATCCCTGAACCCGAAACCCTAGGATGATAAGGTCGAGAAGGAGTGTTTCATCATGAAGCTCGAGCCGATATGATGTAGGCGCCTACTGTAATAATTAATTAGAATGGGGGTTTGGGGGTTTACGAAGGGTTACAAACGCACTATAAGCCTTGCACACGGCATCTGCAAAAACCTTCGAGCACGATGTCGCAGGGCTCAGATTTTCGTGTAGTGTAGTGGTTTCGGAATACAGGCTTTTTTGCATCTAAGAAATGTGATTTAGGGTGCGTAGGGCTTAGTATTCATGAGGGTGTTTGGCGGGGTTTCATAGGGCTCAGGACCGTTTGGGGTTTCGGGCTTGTGTGTATCCTTCCAGGCGATCCCAAACCACAAATGACAACTGCACGAAGCCGCTTACAAGCCACGACAATGGCGGAAATTCGCGGCAAAGCCGCGAGGCAACTGGAGGTGGCAAGCCCATTGCAGGTACTGCCATTACAGTACGATAGTCTCCAAAATCTTACACTAAGTACAGTAGAAGCAGAAAAGTTGGAACCCCAACAGCCTCAGTCCTGAAGAGTAATGTATGGGGAGTCCCAGCACTATTTGGCCTTAGTAATCCGGTTTCCAACTTTAGCGAAGGCCCTAAAGCCTGAACCCTGCAATCCTGCGCCTTAAGCCCGTGCCCCAAGGAGGCTTCAGTGAGTAGAGACTAAGAGGGACGCAAGAGTTAGCAGACAGATGTCGAGAACATGTCGATTATCGGAACCAGCCCTAAGCCCTGAGCCTTAGACCCAGAACCCTACGCCCCGAATTAACCGGAATCCTGCAGCCTAAGCTTTAATTAAGCCCAAAGCTTGAGCTCCTAAACCCTAAATCTCCGCGGTTGAGGTTTGAGGTTTAGTGGGTTAAGGGTTCAGGTAGGGTTTAGGACCCTTCCAACCTACAGCGCTTCGTCCTAAACCGACAAGGCCATTTGGTCGAGACAAGCGTCGTGTTTCTCCACGGTGGTGGCTTCGGGGAGGGCAAGCTCAGCGGCTATCTTCTCAGGCGCCTTGCGGAGCAGGTTTACGATTTGAGGTCAGGGATTGTGTGTTAGGTGTTAAGGTGTGCTTTTTGTTTGAACCCTAACCCAGACAAGCCAAAAGCCCGAACGCGAAACCGTTGGGTATTATTATCATGTGTACATATGTGTACTATAGGGGCCTGTATAATTACTTATACTATTCTGGGGTTCCTTATATCATCACCACAGTATAAAATGACCCCAAACCCTATTCTAATCATTACGGCCCCCATATTACGGGTTTTTGGGCATGGTCGTGCTGGCTTCACGCCGACAGAGCGCAGGGAAAGACGTCCCTCCTTATCACTAAGCAGCCTAATCCCACGAGGCTCCTGATGCAGGGGGTGCGGCGGAACTATAGGGATTCTCAATAGTCAATAGTTATCACCCTCTAATTAATGAAGGTGCCTCGAAACCCTCTTCTAACTGCTATGATACCGAGTAGTTTCCGGTGAGGCTATGTAAACCTTGGAGCCTTGCAATCGGAAACGCAGACATCTATGGGCCATAGGCCTCACGTTAGGGCATTCATGATAGCAGCATAGCAAGCATAGCAGTGCTAGTAGTGCTATGCATGAAAGGAAAGCCCAGAATCTGAACCTGAAATCTTATCCGAAGCTGTCGGCCCAAGAAGCCCTCAACATAACGTCCTGCATCTAAGCTGAACTCTAAGCCCTCTTCCCTTGTTCATTGCAGTCTTCGGGATGCTCAGTCGAGCATACCGAAAAATGGCGCGTAAGACAGAATCTAAGGGCCTGAATGATGGTGGTTCTATATGATTTTTGTTCATATGCCCTGGAACTCTATGATAATGGGCCCTTCTATGATGATCACATTTGTGCATCGTCCTTGAGGGTTCCTGGAAAGCCCCAGTCAGTACTTTCAGGCAAGATGCGCTGCGGCACCCACCAGACTTTCAGTGGTCCCTTGGAACAAAGCTAGAGCTGCGTTGAAGGTTTCAGGGTTCAGGGATCGTTTTCAGTGATGTTCGTTCTTGCGAATTTCTTTCAAGCCATCGTAACTTTCATGAAAGCAGTCATCGAAGCATCACCAAAACTGGACCACACCGAAGCCCGCAAAAGGTCTAAGGACTGAAAGTATCAAATACTCACGCTTAAAAGGTACCTCAACCCTCAAAAACGCCAGAGGTAGCAACCACCAAGCTCCCTGCCCTAAGCCATGGTTGTCCCTAAACCCTAAACCCTACCCCAGCAGCTCTGAAGCTCCAATCTCCAATGCAAACTCCGAAGCCCCAAATCAACGTAGAAACCTGACTAAGAAACCCTCGCCCTAGAAACCCAATATGTTAGGATTCATATAAGGAATCCGAATAAAGACCCAAGGTTTCGTAATCAGGTTACTATAATGCAGGGGAAGCCAGAAGGTTGGAACAACATTATACTCATGCCCTTAAGGTGAAGTATAGGGAATCCCAGCAGCAATCATCCCTCATCAATGTTCCATCTTTCTGGGATTCACTAAACTCAGAGACCATATAAATCCTAAGCCCTAAACCCTGAACTCACTAAACTCACTAAACTCACTAAACTCAGAGACCATAGCCCGACAACTCTGTAGAGCTGCCAAGGCGTGTTTGCCATGGAGACACAGATGCCGAAGGTCTGGGGTCCACATGTTGGCCCATTGTTGAGAGTTTAGGGTTCATTGTTGTTTAGGGTTTAGGAGTTTAGGGTTTAGGGTTTCCAGGATCCACGGTCGAGTCTTGACTTCGGCTGCTGTTTGGAGCAGTCTGAATCGTTGTTTTTCCAAGGTGTACCAACAGTATGCAGGAGCGTACTGGCAACTATGCTCACCCTCCTCCTTATCATCATCCTCGTCATCATCACATCGTCATCGCCATCGTCGTCGTCATCATGATGTCCATCAAGATCGTTGCCGTCCTCTTTGTGACTCTCCACACTCATCATCACCAGCATCATCATACTGGTAGTCATGAGAATGGCCGCAGTCAATCCCTGCGCACCAAAACGATCCTGCAATATGGAAGACTGAAACTACATCTTTAGGAAGACGGTTTCTTTATAGCTCTCACAGGTTCCTACATGCATACCGTGAACAGTAAACAGTATACCCTCTCAGAAGCCCAGTCTAACCATTCAGCCCCCTTTTCTTTCAGTATGGTACGCCGTTGCGGCGTGTATTTTCGCATCGCACTTTGATGTATTTGATTACAGTTGTTAATATGCAAATACAGAAAACAACACACTACAGGCCCCAGTTGTTCATGCGAGTCGGGAGTTGATGGATTCAGAGGTACCAGTCTCCAGTATGGACCCCGGAAAGCCCGACAAACAACTCCCAAGCACTATGCTGGTCACAATCACAAGGCCACCCGCGCCCAAATTACTGGGTTCTTGCTCAAGGATCTAACTAACTTAGGTTACCGTAATCGAGAAGCCATACTATTTACAAGAGATCCCCAGTATGGTAACTTCCTTAACTAGAACCTCAAACCCTAAACCCCTATGCAAGAGCCCAAATTGAAAAGCCCTCACTCAGGCGCCGCCGACGACGCCGGTACGCTTTCGCTGCCGCGGCTGTCGGTAAAGGCGCTGCCAGGCCAGCGCGTTGGGAGTTGGTTGACTTGGGTTTTGGGGCTCTGATTTGAGCGTGTGTTAGTTGAATTAGAGTTTAATGGTCATGCAGGTAACACCTGGAACCTAGCCAAACTTAACCTTACGATTTCAGTGTTGCAGGGTGCAGAATCCCGACGACACCGAAGCTTTAAGCCTACAAGTACACTCCCGAGCAGTGTTTCCAGCGCGCCTGTCGCAGGAGGCGCCCTCTTGGCTGAACTCAGCGGAGGTATCGCCGGCTTTGCTGGAAGAGGTGACATCAGGGTCAAAGGTTGAGGTGAACCCGGGCTTTGGGGTGCAAGGATTTGGGTGTCTAGGGCTACCTGGTTTGTCTGTTTTGGTTGCGGGGTTTAGAAGGTTAAGGGTTTCAGGGTTCAGAGAACTCTTTAGGGTTTGGTGCTGAGGGTTTCGCGGTTATCGGGCTGACGGGGTGAGATTTGCAGGTTCCACAGCTTTCAGCGATTCCGTGTGTGAACAGATTCAACAAATGCAGCAGGTGCCAGTGTGCTATGTTCGTCCTGGACCTGAAACCCTGTAGCCCCAGACCGTAAGATATGAACCTCCAAAAATTAATCGGCAATAACCTTGAAGCTGTAGGCCGTTGCATGTGGCTGAGTGCTGTAAGGTTTTGGATTGGTTAGGGAAGTGTGAGGCTTGACGGGGAGAATTCGAATATCCAAGAACCCAACTCAAGGTGCCGTGAAGCAGAGGACATGTCCCGCAGCATAACAGAGAAGTCCAAGCCTGTCTCCAACCCTAAACCCTAAACCCCTAAACCCTAAACGCTACGCCCCTGAATCCAATGAAGAAAGTAAGACTCGCCTCGAAGCCCAGAGTTGCAGTTCCCCAGGTCGGATCTCGAAGCAACACTGCTTACCCAGAGACTCCAAGGAATATTCCTGAAATCATATTAGGGATCCTACTATAATTTAAGGATTATTCCTTAATTAAGAGATATTGGAGTCTCTGGGAATGCTTACGGGAAACCCAGATGATGGTACTGCTGATGGACAAAATCCTTCATTAAAGGGATCTATAAGGGTACCTTTAAGGGGCTCCTTTAAGGGATCTATAGGGATTTAGGGTTTAGGGTTTAGGGATATAAATCCTGCATTACCCATTATAAGGAATATACCATAGTTCCCATAGTTTGGAGTCCTTAGGGTCATGCAGGATTTTGTCCATCAACAGTAAGGATACCTGCCAGTGGGTTCCATATGCTAGAGAACTGCAGGGGTAGGGGTAGATTGCCTTCAACCAGCCCAGCGAAACCGTATTGAATACAAGGATTGCCGACGGTTTGGGGGACGGGGTGCGGGCCATAAACCCTAAACCCTAAACCGATATGTGCTGTTGAATCCCTCGCTTCGCATCGCAACCCACGGTAGAAAGAAAGGAAGATCCAAGAGCCCTGCAGCACAATAGGCCCGCAGGTTAACCTAGTAGTCGAGTAGGTAACCTTTAACCGTTTTTGGGTAGTGTAGTCCCTATATAATCCCTATATATCCAAAAAGGTTAACCTTTGGTTCCCCATGATACCCGACAAGTAGGTTAAAACGCCACATCCCAAAACCAAGAATCCTAAACCCGCCAGCCGCATCCTGCTAAGGCCTGCAGAAAACCCTGAGCGAACGCCATATTATACCCCCCTTCAAACTATAAACCCTCAACCCTATCAACCCCATAAGCTGTAAACCCTCAACCCTTTACACCCCATAAACTATAAACCCTCAACCCTATAAACTCCATAAACTATAAACCCTCAACCCTATAAACCCCATAAACTCTAAACCCTCAACCCTATAAGCCCCATGTATAAACTCTAAACCCATAACGACCCTCAGGCAAGGCGCCCCTGGCTTTGAAAGGGTTCTTGAGGCGCCTCTTGGAATCTGCCTCTTCTGGTTTAGGGTTATTTGGGTATAGGGTTCTTGGGTTTTGGGTTTTGGGTTTAGGGTTCTTGGGGTTTGGGTTTAGGGTTCTTGGGGTTTGGGTTTAGGGTTCTTGGGTTCTGGGTTTAGGGTTCTTGGGTTTTGGGTTTTGCGTTTAGGGTTCTTGGGGTTTGGGTTTAGGGTTCTTGGGTTCTGGGTTTAGGGTTCTTGGGTTTGGGGTTTTGGGTTTAGGGTTCTTGGGGTTTGGGTTTAGGGTTCTTGGGTTTTACGGTTTAGACTTCAGGGCTGAATGTTAAGGTTCAGGGTTTCAGGTTGAAGGTTTAGGGCTTGAGGTTTCGGGTTTTGGGCTACATCACCTGCGCTTCGGCTCTCGGAGATTTGTGGACACCAGTTTCGAAAGTGGCTTACGCAGTTTCGTTCACGAAGGATGGTACAAGGCAGACCCTAAATCCTAAAAGCCTAAATCCTAAACCCTAAACCCATTTAAGAGGAGGCTTCCAAGCTTGGACCTCCGAATTTCAAGGCAAGGTCTGGGATCTCGCGCGTTTGGTGCAGTGGTGTCAGGGGGGGTTCCGAGCCGAGAGCCCATCGAAGGTTCCGTCCGTCAGTGATTCAGGGCTCAGGGTGGGTTTTGAAAGAAGCTTTCAGGCTACAGCGCTAAGAGTTGTAGAGAGTTTGATAGGTTTTATTTCACTTGTAGCCCTAAACTCCACGAAATGGCAGGTATGACCCGTGTTTGTTAGGTATAACCCTCAGCAGCGAATTCTTGGAAGTTCAGTGGCTAGGATGGAAGTTCAGGGCCTGAAACCGTAAGTTTTAAGTGAAGGTTTGTGGAATCAGGCAAAGCACCGCTCGGTCCGATCCTTTCAAGTTAGTTACTAACTAGCAGCATCGGGGTCAGAGGAATTTTCAATACTAGCATCTTTACAGTCTCTATGACCCAGAGCCCTGGCCCCTCTATCAGCAGTCCAAGTCGTTGTAAACAGAGACAGATATTTTTTTGGCAGAATCCAACCAACAAGGAGCCATATAACAGGACCTGAAGAGCAGGTTGTTCAAGAACACGATGTTTCCGGAATGCATCGTGATTAAAACGACTGTCAAGGCAAAATCTCGAGCAGGTTTGGACAACTACGGTCCTGGTGAGATACCTGTTTTTTGCCGGAAGATTCGGTCGGTTCCGTCAAGGACAGCAACCTCGAGGCGGTATTGGGCATGGATGGAGTGCCAAACCTTTGGAGGGAGCAGCTGCAGTGGGACAATCCCACAGGATCCAGGCTTCCCACACCTTTTTCAAGAGCATTGCCAAGGAGGAGGACAGGAATCAGGTCGTGCCGTTTGCCCTGCACCCTGGCGCCAGACCCCAAAAAGCCCAAATCTGCAAACTCGCAACCCTGAACTTAAAGGCCCCAATGAGTTACAGTAAAAGCCAGAAAGTTGGAATATGATTATCCTAACCCTTCTATGGTAAATTATAGGGTATCCTACCATGAAACCATATTCCAACTTTCTGGAGTTCCCTTTAAAGCTTAAACGCAGTCCAGGATCGCCCCAAGCCCCAAACGAGAGCTTCAGTCCGAAAATAGAGGACACCAATGCGGGTTCAGGGTTTAATTATATAGGGAATAGGGTTTAGGGTTTTAGGGTTTAGGGTTTAAAGGTTGGCCCCCAACTTATCGTATTGAAATTTGGGCCACTGAACCCTTAAACACTTAAATCCCAAACCCCCAAACTTACTCGCTTAAGTCCCAAGCCTGGAAAGAAGGAACCCGGAACGGGGAACATCTGCAAGACCGCCCAAAAGCCTGCACTCTTAAAGCTACCCGTTATAGAACCAGGAAAGTATAGAAACCCAGATCCCAAACCCTTAACCCCGAACCCTAAGCGAGCCTTCAATTCTCAGCACCCTGAAAACATTTCCGAAAAACCCTAAACACACCTAACCCTGCACCCTAAGCTCCCATCTTTAAGGGTCCAAGTACTCCCTATTATAGGGTGTCTGGGCCTTTTTAGGTACCAAGAACCATAGAGGACTACTTGGACCCTTCGGGTATTGTAAGAGCCTCTAAAATAGGGGCCTAAATAATTACCTATACCATTTTGGGGGTTCCTTGTTATAATTATAGTATAATATTCCCCAAAACCCTATTCTGATGATTAAGGCCCTTATATTGCCTGGAGAAGAGCAGGCAACGGAGCGAGGGGCTGGAATTGGCTCTCACCACGTGGAGCCCTCAGACCTTGAGTTCAGGTTATAGGCGTTAAGCTTAGGTTTCAGGGTTTCGGCAAACTTTTAGCGGCGTTCTTGTGTTGTGTTGTATGGTGCGTTTATTTTTTTTTAAACGCGCTTGTGGTGTTGTTTCAGGGGTTTCTGGACAGTTAGTTACTCATTGTGCGATCCTGTCTTAGAGCTGTGTTGATAGGTATTGCAGAATTTGTTGATAGCGATTGGTGCAGGTTTCAGGCTGAGTAAAGACTTGTTAGCAGTTCTACAGTTCTACATACCTTACCTTTGGTTAGTAGGGAACAGTAGTTATAATTGTACCCCAATCCTCCATTCCCTACTAACTAAAGGTAAGGTACAACACCGGGTAAAACCATCATTGAAACCGGAAATGCAAACCACCAAAGCTCACACCTCAACGACTGAGCACACAAAACCTCTAAACTCCAAAATATCCTCAACAGCTTAGACCCGAAGCCCAACAAATCACAAAATCCCAAAGCCGTACCTGTAGCCCCAAATCTTGCAGACTTGTAGTTTATGAGTCGGTGACAGAACGAATCGTAGGGTTCTAGACCCCTTTAAACCGCAGGGTAGAGGTTCACGCATAAACCCCAACACCTGTATCCGAAAAGCTACAGCCTACACCCCGAAACCCTGCACCCCCTAAACCCTGAACCCCTTAAAGCCCTAAAATCCTGAATCCTAAGCCCCCCAAATACCCCTAAAAATCCGAAATCCTCAATCCTGAACCACAAAATATCGCAAAACCCCCCTCAAGGATCCTGATTCCTAAATCCCCTCCAAAAAAATATCGCAAGGTGCGACTCCTTCGGCTTGCCCTGTGGACCCATCTCTTGGTTGGAGCTGCGGCTCTTCTCGAGCTCCTTGGCTCCGGCTCTCTGAAACGGGAGTTTCCGGAAACTTAACTTATAGGGATTATAATAACCAAAAAAAATACAAATATTTCTAATTAGAAATAGTTTTATTTTTTGGTTAATATAATCCCTAAGAAACAGCTAAAATTGTAATTTTTTTTTTTTTTTTAAGTTCAGTATCGGAAACTTCTGGGCTTTGGAGTACCTTACTTTATTACTTTGTTCCTAAAGGAACCATTATTCAATACACTTTTTTGAGCCCTGGCTACTTAACAGCCCAGAATTAGGGGTACCTGGCACCTTGCAAGGGATCTATAAGGGATCTGTAGGGTTTTGGGTTTTGGGGGTTTCCGAAAATCAGGGGTACCTCACTTTGGGGTATCTTATTTTGGGGTCCTGATAATATCTGATAATAAGGATCCTACTATTAGTGTACTTTTTTTGGGTCCACTGTTTTCGGAAACGCCCGAATACGAAACTCAGGAGGGATCTTCACGAGTTTGTGACGGGAATCATCGTTGGTTCCTTGGGGTTTTATTATAAGGTTTGCATGCAGGCCCGAATCCGTCGCCATGCTGTTCCTTAATGCATTGCTGAATATAACTAACCCCCCCAGCTCTTGATGTAATGCTGGCTTCGACACAGAGCCTATGGTTTCAAGCTTCTTTGAGGCATGGACTGGTCAAGACGAGTGTTCAGCTACACCTCGGCCGTCCAATGCAGTTGCATTTGGGCGGGGTAGCAGGGTACCCTAACAACAAGTTCCCCCAAACGAACCCTAGAGGATCCCTGAAGAGGAACCCATTCAGGAACCACGAAAGCACCAACCCTGAATCCAAACCCCGAATCCCTGTACTCCAAGCCCTACACCCCAAACTTTTTTAACCCTAAACCCTAAACCCTAAACCCTAAGCCGTAAATCTGAACCAGCCTGAGGCCCCAAACCCGAAGCCCGGAGCCCTTAAACCTGTAGGTATTCAACTTCTCTAAACCCTAAACCCTAAAAACGTTAAAAGTTTAAACCGTAATCCCCAAACCCTAAACCATAATCCCCAAAACCTAAACAGTAATCCCTAAACTCGTGAAACCCTTAAAACCCTAAACCCCGGGGTCCATGCCTGCAGGCTTTCGATGCCAGGCGCCCTCAGGAGCTACAGCCGACGGAGCCCAGCTCTTGCATCTCGGTGTTGTTGCTTCTTGGGTTTTTTGAGGGATTAGGATTTGGGGTTTAGTTTAGGTCTTAGGGTTTCAGGGCTTTACGGGTTGGGGTCTGGTGTTGTGAGTGAAGGGGTGTAGGGTTTAGGGTATCTCGGTGTAGGCTTTATTTTGTAGCTGCGTAGGCTCATGTTTGCCATGTGCTTGATCCTTCGGTTATGTACAGAAAATTTTTCTAGCCTCGCCATACATGTTAAAGGTGGCTGTTTTGAGGTTGGGCTTAGAAGTTCAGCTGGCTCTTGCTGAACAACTGCTCTGCATTCGTGCCCTGAAATCTAAACCCTAATATATGGGCCTTAACAGTTACCTATACTATTTTGTTGGGGGGGTCTTTACTATAAGTATAGTATAATGGCCCCCCAAAACCCTATTTTAATTATTAAGGCTTCTTTTTCTTGTTACCGAGGCCTCGATTCAAGCTTCAGCGTAAAGCCCCTGAACCATCTCTGCGTTGACTAAGCTGGCTTCCTGAACCCCCCCATTCATTTAAAGCTCATTACCTCTAGGTGGCAATTTGGGAAACTTTTGAGTTTCCCTTATGGATCCTATAGAGGTACCTATTCATACATACTTTTCAGAGCCCCAACCCAGATCTGCACCTTGCCCCCAAAGCAGAAAGCGCTACTCCGACATTCTGTGAACCCTCAACCCTCATCCCGGAAGTCGGTAGCCTGAGTCCATACCAACCTAAACCCCTACCTGGACCCTAAGGAACCTACCTTTTCGGGTTCCCTAATATGGTTTCTTTATGTAAGTCCTTAAAAAGGTAGGTTATTTGGTGTTAAGGTAAGATAAGCCTGCGATCTGAATCCTAATCCCCTTACCCTCCAACTCCGTAAGCCCTCTCCTGCCTCTAGCCCCGAGCCTGAAACCATTGGCGTGGACCTTTCCTTGGCTGCTGTTTCTAGAGCCTTAAAACAACCCAAAACCCAAAAACCCTAGGGCCAAAACCCTCACCCCTAAACCTTCAAGCCGTGACGCAAGACCCAAAGCCCTAAACCCTCAAAGAGCAGCCAAGCGCTGTTCTCAACTCCTTTATCACTACAGCTTTCAACCAAGAGTCCTAAACTGCATACTCCCGGTACTATAGGGGCCTAACGCAGTAATTACCAATACTATTTTGGGGGTTGCTTATTTTTAACTTATAGGCAGAATGGGGCCCCCAAACCCTATTCTGATTGTTAAGGCCCCTGTAGTAGGGATCAAGGTTTATGCTTCAATCCACCCCGCTCGGACAAGCCTACAATCGAAGGTACCAACCCAGCATCCCGCTTCTGCGACAAGAGTTCCACCTTGTCCCCGTCAAGGGCGAGGTGGGACAGGGCACATGCTTCCCTTTGGGCTCATGTCAGTGTTGATGTAACCGAAAGCCAATCAAAAGCCCTAAACCTCCCGCGCCCTGAAATCTTAAACTTTTGGGCCCTGCAAACTCTACAACCTCTAGGCCCCAAACTACAGACCCTGCGCCCGATAAACCCTAAGCGTGAGCCCAGAGATTCAACATGGTGCGCCGCTTCCAATTCCTGGTCGACTGCGTGGCCTTGAGTATCTGTCTCTCAAGGGCAAGAGAGCCCCGAAGTTCACGCTTTCATGGCCACTGCTGAATTGGCACAACTGGAACGAAGTGTGGGACACATGCAGCGAGGACGCTGCAACAGTCATCGCGGAATTCACACGCCAACGCGGTCACAAAGCTGCCACAGCAGAAGACCATTCTCACACGTTCTGGTGAGGGTTTGGGATTCGAGTGCCTGCAGGGTCGGACGACCGAGCGTTTCTTGGCGTTGTGGATTAGCAGGGGGGAGACTTCCTTCGACCAGGGTCTAGAGTCTAGGCAGAGTTTAAGGGTTTAGTGTTTAGGTGTTGGGGTCTATGGTTTACCCTAAGGCCCCAAAGTAGTTCGTTTTGGGGGTTCATATATAGAATCCTATAAGGTAATCCCAAAAAGGAACTACTTTGGGGCCCATGGTGGGTTTAGGGTTTTGGAGTCGGGTTTTAAGGGTGCAGCGACGTCAAAGCGTAATCCCCGCAGCGATTGATAGGACTCGTGCTCTTCTGGGTTGCAGAGCAGCCTACAGTTGCTTAGGGTTTAGGGTTTAGGGTTTAGGCTTTAACAGCTTCTTGGCTCGAAAGACTATGCAACGACTCACAATTCCCTCCCTCCAAACCCGCACAAGTTTCGCATGTGGCAACCACCCCGCCTCCCCCCCAACCAATACGCTAGTCTAGAAGTGATCTATCGACTACAAAATATGTAGGACGCCCTTGCAAGGACAACTGGCACGGTCGAGGGTGTAGGGCTCCGCTGGGTGCTTTAGGGTGTTAGATTTTTTTGGGTTCGGCCAGGCTTCCACCAAAGTCGCAGTGGAGCGATTACGAGGCGCTGCTCCCAGATACCTGCATACCTGTTACGTGTATGTGTACGGAGATAGATAGATATAGATGTATAATATGCACATGTATATGTACATGTATTTGTATAATCTGTATATGCATATGCATGCCACATCCATACACACACACACACATATATATATATATATATATACACACACACCTGCGTACCTATACAACTGTACCACTATATACGCCGATACATCTTTACATCTACATACGTACATTGTATGCAGTAGCTTGAGTGTCAGGTGTATACTCTGTTGGTGCCAAGGGCCCCGCCTCGACAAGCAGCCCTCAGGGGGGGCGTGTTTCTACACAGACAGTGACTTCAGGTTCTAAGGCAGTTTAAGGTTATGCAGTTGTTATCAGTTGTCATATAGCCTCTTTGTCGAAGCCAATCCAGCGACAACCTTTGAAAGTTGCAATGTCCGCGACTCTGAACCCGAGATCCTGTGCTGAATCAGAATGTCAACTGCAGCATTTCTTAGGTTGCCTCCCAAACCTTTCACCTTCAAGCTACAACGTGCAGGCAATAGGAGCCACCGGTACTGCGGGCTCTGACTAGGACTTTGGAGTTAAAGGTGCAAACTTCCTTCTAAACCTCATATTATTCTGCTATCATCTACCCCAAGTTCATGTTCTAGTTAATGGCCTATATCACGGCTTCAAAGGATGCAGGATTCCGGCTTTCCCTCTCACTGCCTGCAGGATTTAGGGCGTCGGAACGATGAACCCCAGATGTGAAACCTTAGGGTTAAGGGTTTAGGGACATGGCACTCAGAGCCCCATCCCTGAAGCCGCAACCCTGGAACTAAACCTCGAACCCTGAAGCCAAAGCACCACCCCAAACCCCAAAGCCCCAAACTTAGCGCCTTACACTCCAAAAAATCACAAACACAAGACACGACTTATCATACCTCGCCCACCGCCTCCCCGCATCACCCTCCACCTTATAGAGCCTATAAACTCTACACCCGAACCCAACATAAAAACAGCAAATCACTCCCAGGATCTGCTTTCTTGGCCTGGCTCCGCCCGGGCGCACTGGGGCCTTTCGTCTGCAAGGGAGGCTGCGACGTCTAGCGTTGAGGCCGGCTTGTATCGTAATAATCATAATACGATAAGAGTATATACGTACATATACATATACATATATACATACATACATACATACATACATATATATATAATGACAGTAACACTAACAACAACTACTACACCAACAACACCAGCAGCAGCAACAACAACAACAACCACCACAACAATAATAGTCTACAGTTGCCATTAGAACCCTGACGCGAATTATCAAACAAAGCTACTACGTTGATTGCGGGTGATGCCCAATTCTGATTATTAAGGCCCCTCTTCTATACCCTTATAGTCGCCCTTTATATAGAACCCTTTGGATAGTAGACCTCAGGGCATTTCTCGTAGCGAGTGGTGTTTGATTCTGCTGCCTGCGAGCTGATCCTCATGTGGGAGTTTCCGAAAGTTAGGGCTACCTTATTTTGGGGTCCTTACAATAAGGATCCTACTATTTAGGGTACTATATTCGGGTCCCCTGTTTTCGGAAACTCCCATGTTTCTGCTCTTGTAAAATCCAAGGGCGGATCGCGAGGAGGACCGACAGGGCTAAGGGCACAGGGTTTTGGGTGTTTGGGTTTGGGGCTTAGAGTTTAGGGTTTACGGTTCAAGGTTTGTTGGTTTAGGTTTTTGGGTTTAGGGTTCAGGGTTTAGAGGTTTATAGGGCTTATAGGGTTTATAGGGTTTAGGGTTTTGGGTGTTTGGGTTTGGGGCCAGTTCTTCCGAAACCTGGGAAGCTCTAGAAGCCTGGGCCCCACCTGGAGCTCCCGTCTTGGAGACTCACCGTAGGAACTGGTAGAAAGGGACCCCTACAAGGATAGGCTATGTATGGTTCACGTAGACTGGGCTTCCAGAGCTGGAACCTGGCACTCTTGACTTGCTGGGAATCATGGACTCATGACTGATACTGCTATGATGGGGCTTTTGGGTTTAGGGTGTACCTGGACCCCCAAAAGTATGTAGACCCTTTATAGGTTTTGGGCCATTAGTTTACCTACTTTTGGAGGGTCTAGGTAAGGCTGAGGTGACACTGATACTAACAGGGTCAGAGCCTCGAGCTACTACCATGTCTCAGACGCCAACACGACTGTGCCGCATAAGAAAGAGCTGGTTTGCGACAAGGGTATCCTCGATTTCTTGATTAGGCAGCCCGGCTACGATAAGAGCGAGAATGCTGTACTGTACCCCACAAGCTTGCTCTAATTGTTTTTTTGCTGCTAGGGTATGCTCGACTTCTAAGTCCCGTTTGGCACATATTGAAAGGCTGAGAGGGCACTGATCAAGGGCAAAGCTAAGACAAATTGTCGACTAAGCTAAGAGCATCCTACTGTAGTTGGTACTGCTCGTTTCTTGGCGCACGGCTGCCGAGCCCACCGTCTCAATGTCTTAAGCCAATTAATTTTCATAGCAGTGCTACCGCTGCACTGACAAATGACCAAGGACAAGCCCTGTGCATCCAAAAACCTGGTCAGGCTTTCATCCTCTAATTAAGGGGTCATACCCTACTAATTCTAGGGTTTGGGGTCACAGGACAGCGCTGAAGCCCATGCCTCGTCGCTGAAACTGAAAGGAGCTTGCAGGCCCGCTGCCTGTATTATGGCCTCCCAACGATGGCGTTGAGATCGCTTGGCACTGTGTCACCCGGCTGAACAAACAAAGAGCAGACAAAAGGGGCCTAAATCATTACCTGTACTATTTTGGGGCTTCCTTATTATGTTGTTGGTATAGTGGGCCCAAAACCTTATTCTAATTATTAAGGCCCCTGTATTGACGCTCTGAGATTTGCTGGGGAATGGGACGACAACGGCGACGGAAGAGGCGTTGGAGCACTCACCTAGACCTTCAAACCCTAAATCTCTGTGTATAAACTTACCACAAGATACTAGGGCTCGAGAGGCTGCAGCACGGTTTTTGATAGGTCTGATCACAGTGTCGCCTTGAGGCTCTGAGGCTCAACGTGCACACACACACACACACACACAAGACACCCCGAATCCGTCCAAATGCTTGTAGGATTCTATGTAGCTTTCTAAATCACACATAACTTAACGTAGCCTCCAAGTCTACGAAATGGTAGGGTAGTACCCATGCAGATGATTGCCGGATCTCCCTGCCTTACTGAGGATGGGTCCGTGATTGCCGCAGAGCCTGCTCCTGCCAACGCCGAGAGGAGCCTTTTTTGGCTTGGGTGTAGGATTTGGGATTTATGGTTTAGGATGAGGGCGTAGGATTCGAGCATTCGCGGTATTATAAAGCTTGCCGTGGTTGTGTCTATGTCTGTTGCTTGTTTGTCTGTCCGTCCGTCCGTACGTCTGTCCGTGCATGTATGTGTACGTATGTATGTATGCATGTATGTTTGTATGAATCTCTGTATGTATGCATGTATGTATGAGTATGTAGGTAGATCTGTATGTGGGCAGGTCCGTACGTCGGTAGGTCGTCATGTATGCTGTCTGCATGCATGCGTCTGTCGGTCGACCTGTCTGTCTGTATGTAAGTATGCACGTATTTATCCCTTTAGATACTCTCGACCCGAATCCTTGACTCCATAAACCCTAAACCCTAAACCCTAAACCCTAAACCTTCACTTTTGTTGGCCTGGCAAGGATTCGTTCAAGGGGTTGTGGAAATGTGTCTGGTTGATTTGTGGTGGGTTTAAGGACCCGCACATCTTAATTGGGGTGTTGGGTTTTATGCCCTAAGGCCCCAAAGTACTTCCTTTTGGCGTTCATCTATAAAATCCTTTCAGGTAATCCCAAAAAGGAACTACTTTGGGGCCTATGGGTAATAGTCATGGCTGCCAGGTGGTCAGCCGATACCTTGGCAATATACTTCTGTTCTGCGCTCGAAGCCAGAAGCCGGGTGCTCACAAACCTTGGACCACAACCCCCAAGCCGTACTGCCCTGGCCCGGAATCTAAACCTGCATGAAAAGTCGCCCGCAACAAGGCAAACTAGGAAGCGACAGAGAGTTTTTCCCGATCATGACTGCACTGTGACCCTATGGTACCAAGGACGAGCTATCGTGAGTTTCGGCTGGCAGCATCACAGAAGCCTCAACCCCAAACAGCGGAATAAGAAAGCCACGCAACCCAGACAACAGCACCCTGAGCCCTAGCCCTGGCTTTACGCGAAGAAACCCAGCACCTAAGCCTCGCAAAGCCCCGGAGGAGCTGGGGTCCTGGCAATCGCTTGAAGATCGAGGACACCTCTCCCGATAAGATGGGGGTCGGAACACCTACGAAGGTTACGCCCTTGACCTAGATCCTAAACCGTAGACCCCCGTTATGATGATCATATTTACAAGAGACCCCTCCGAGCTTTGCTTTGACTCTTAATGCCTCTGCTGTACCCAACTTGGAACTTCCATGTGGATTTGGCAGGGGGGTTCGGGCTTATGGAATTGCTTGCGGGGATCTAGTATACCCTTTCGCCCTTTTTCTTTGAGCTTTCTTTTGGGGTTCGACGTACAGCTATTCCTTCAGCGCCGTGACGAAACGTATGTTGACTCAACGTAGATGTGGCCCAGGTTCATCCGGAGCCCCGGGATGCACATGTGATCACTTGCCTGAGTGCATGAGTCATGCTCGGCACGGTTCCTACCCGGCCAGCTTTTCGTGTGGAGATCGCTCAAGGCATTTAGCGATGTCGAGTATCCGTCGCACTCGTTCAAGAACGACATGCGGCGTCGAGCATTCTTGGTGCGATCCGGAATCAAGTTGCAGAAGGACGACCGCGGCATCGAAGGGGTTGCGATCCCTGAAGATGAGGGCAGGTCTGAGTCCAAAGAGATCAAAAGAGTGTTTTTGCGTCAAAGGTTCACCAGCAGGACATGTACCCAAGGGGAGCCAAAAAAGGTGTAGGAAAAAAGGGAAGGCACTACTCAGAACCCCTACGTTTTTCAGGGGTCTACGGAAGATCTCTGGGCAAGGGCTCTGGGGGTTTGAGGGTTTAGGGTTGGGGGGTTTTCGAGGTTTTCAAAGCTTATGAGGCGGAAGTTGCCTCACTGGGGCAACTACCGAGTTGAGGGTTTTCCGTCGAAGGTTTAGGGTTTAGGCTCCTGTTCTGGATATATCTGCAGCAAAAAACGGGATCAGGTTTTGCTTTTTGTGTTTTTGCTGGTGAGACTTAGGGCATGCCTTAGAAGGGGCCCCCACCCTGTAATAGTGGTATTTTTGGAATATGATAGGGCCTTAATATAATCCTTATAGTGACTATTACAGGGTGGGGGCAGCTTCTAAGACATGCCGACAGATCACGGGATTTTGTGGTGGGTATATCCCAGAGCCTTAGGCTGTTCCTATGATCCTATGATTAAGGGCCCTGAACCCTGGCATTATGAGTCGCAGGGGAGCCCTCAAAGCTACACCCTCAACCCAGAGCCCGAGCCTTGACTGCTAAGTTATGGATGTGCCGTCCGAGAGCCCGACAATTCGAACTCGTTAGCTTTTCACGTCGGATCTCGCTAACGCTTCTACACTTGCCGAACTCCTAGTCGCATACCAGGTACCGTGCTGGTGGGTGTTTGGAATGTTGAGGCAACCCCCCCCGTTGCTGCGGTGACAGGACCGTCAGGGCACATTGCATCTCCTCCGTGACGACGAAGTCGTTTGGAGGCTTCTGTTCAGCTTTGGGGCTTGTTGGGTTTGGGTTTTCGTTGACCGGAGATGCAGGGTTTAGGGTGTGCCGGCTTTGGCATTGGTTGTTTTAGGATTTCAGCTTGTGACTGAGGGGTGTTTAAGCTTCAGAGCTTTAGGGCTGTAAGTTTAGGGGTTCACAGTTAGGCTTCAGGAGCTTGAGCTTATGCATGTTGCTTCAACTACACATCTTCGACATTGGGAGCTTTTGGTTTCGGGCTCCGTTCGTAGGTCAGGTGTTCAGGGTCGTTTGAGGCTAGGTTGTTTCAGTGCTTAGTGCCTCAGGGCAAGTTCAGGGTTGGGTTTAGGGCTGTTTATGGATTCTCGGGCTTTTAGGGTTTTCAAGTACTTGTTGAGGACTCTTGGTGTTGGTCGAGGCTTTGATGGTCGCGTAAGTAAACCACACCAAGTTGTCGGTCATCAGCACAACAAGACCTGAACCTACATAATGCGAAATAGAGGGTCATATTCAAAACACAAGCTCCAAAAGGAGCATATGGCTCAAACATGAGGAACACACCGGATTCAACGACGGACCCGATAGCGAGAGTTGCATCGCGAGTCAGTCACGGTTCACGTACGGGTTTTGTTGATGCACTAGCCGACATCTTCTCCTTCCTCTTACTCCATAGGTCATGAATCTGCGTTGTGAAGATGGTTGTAGCAAAGGCGGATGTAGATTGCATCTCTCTTAGCCCATGGAGATTTGCTCGCCCGTGTCAGGTGAGACTCTGGCAGTCTTGCATCCAGACGCATTCGTAGGTCGAGAAGCAAAGGTGGTGAAAGCAACTTTGACGGCTCGGCTTGGTGTCTCCAGATTCCGACTAAGACTGTTTGTAGAGGACTCGTCCTGCGAAATTGATGACGGAGAGGTCTTCACTTCAACTCCGGCAAACGTCCAGGTTGTGGTGTGGTTTTTTTGCCGGATGATCGTACACAAAACCAGCGGATGATGCACGCACCCAGGAATGACGAGCTGATTGAATTGGAACACTTGCTCAAAAGCCATCGCAATCCCAACACAAAAAACGATGATGGCAAAATTCCGTTGCACGACGCAGCAAACATGGGACGCATTGAGGCCGTGCAGCTACCGCTTGAGGCAGGCTCAGAGAAGGATGCACAAGCTGGCGGATTTTTTGCGGCGACACCTCTACACCTGGCAGCCCTAAACCAGTGACACCTTTGTTGGTGGCCGTGCCGCAGCAGTAGGTGAAATCCGAAAGTGCGATCAGTGTGGCTACGAGAGCTTGAACATCAGCCACGTCTGCTACATTTCGGATGTCCGACATGTAGCAGAAGTGGCTGATGTTCAAGCTCTCGTAGCCACACTGATCGCACTTTTTGACTTCACCTACTCCACCAACAAAGGTGTCACTGGTTTAGGGTTCAGGGTTTAGGGTTTGGAGTGATGTAGTACGTCTGCTGGTAAGAAGCTGATGCGGAGAAGGATCTCTTGGCTGAGATAGGCGTGACACCTGCATATCTAGCAGCTTTACAAGGCCATCTCGGCGTTGCACGTTATCTGGTGGAAGCTGGCGCTGACAAACATCAGGCTAACAATGACGGCGCCACGCCCTTATACATTGCAGCTCAGCACGGGCATCTCGATGTCGTGAGTTTGCTGGTGGAGGCAGGCGCTGACAAGGATCAGGTTCACAACGATGGCACAACACCAGTGTATATTGCAGCTCAGCAAGGTTGTTGTGCGTTTTCCGTTGGAAGCCTCGAGAAGATAGTAAAGCCCGTAGATGTTGCATCTCAACTTGGGCGGCTCATGTTGTTTGTTTGCTGGTGGAGGCCGGTGCTGACACCGATCAGGCTCGCATTGATGGCACAACACATCACAACACCATTGCACATTGCTTCTCAGCAAGTTGTCTCGATGTTGTGCATTTCCCGGTGGAAGCTGGCACTGACAAAGATTCCGCTGACAAGCCGGGCAGAACACTCCTTCTCATTGCATGCCAGAATGGTCATCTCGCTGGAAGCTGGCACTGACACAACAGGCATCGTGCACTGCTGCTCACAATGGTCGTCTCGATGTAGTACCTTTGCTGGTGGAGGCTGGTGCCGACAAAGATCAGGCCAGAAACGATGGCGCCGCACCCTTGTGGACGGCAGGTTGGGGAGATTACCTCGATGTCGTGCGGCTTCTGGTGGAGAGCCTGCGCTGACAAAGGTGGTTGTCATGATGGCGCACCCCGTGGTATGTTGCATGGGAAAAAGGCCATCGCAACGTTGTGCCTTTTTGCAGAGAGCTGGCGGCGAGAATGATCCGGCCGCCCAGAAACAGCAGTGTAAGAAACGCACCTCAAACACACAGCCACTGAGTTCACCTCCCGTGTTCGCATAGTTCTATTGTATAGCCAAAGGCAAGTTGAGCCCTGAGCCTCATAGTGCCTTCCTTGCTAGTAACCGTAATTCTTAATTACATACATTACCCGTTTAGCCTTGTTATAATACCCTTTTACTCGCCCTTATCGCAGCCTTGTGGCAGCCCTTCCATATAAGTGCACCTACAGTCACTGAGACAGAGATCCTCATAGTAACCCCAGCTATAGGAGCCCTGAAAGGAAAGCTCCTTGTACTGTAGCAGCCCTTGAAGAAGCCCCATACTCGTAACCTCGAAACGATACTACAGGGTTTTTTGAATAGGGTCCCCTTCAAAGGCTACCAGGGTTCTATACTTGTCCCACTTTCAAGGCCACTCTGGGATTCTATAATGGTGTCCCCTGTAAGGGCGGCATGCTTATAGCAACCCTCATCCCAAAAGGCTCCATGTACCTTCATAGTAGATACTTAGGCCTTGAAGGGGTCCCTATATAGCACTTTAAGGCCTAAGTATATACTATATGGGTACATTGAGCCTTAGGGTATCTGGAGCTCTCAAGCGCGCCCGAGGAGTCGCCTCCAGCGCGGGAGCTCCTCGCCCACTTTGGCGCTGGCTTTTCGGGGCCCTTCCCTGGTACGCCTCGAGGCGAAATCGCGGGTTGCTGGTTGAGGAGTTGGATTGGTTGAGGAGTTGGATTTGTTTTCTTTGCTTAGGTTTTGAGGTATAGGGTCCAGGGTTGGAGGATCTGAGCCTTGCAGGCTTTAGTGTTTCAGGGTCTAGGGGAGCCGAATCCGGACCCTCAGAAAAGATAGGTTCACTATCACAAACAAGAGTCCCCTAAGCAAGGCATGCGCACCTTCAATTTTCAACTTATGTCAGTCTTATTGTCGCTAGCATTTTCTGGTAGTGTGATTGCCGCAAGTTACTATCGCTTATTGCGGCTCTGTCGATATTACTATCGTTCCTTTGCTTATGACTACTCTGGCTCAGCCAGATGCCATGTTCTTGCCATGCGGTCGTTGCTTGGACCGCCCTCACGCACTCGTGCTATCGTGCTCCTCTGTAGGATTCCGATTTCGCGGCTGATGATGATGATAATGATGACGACAGGGCACTTCAAAGCAGGAATCACGCAAGCCCACCCGCACCAGAGGGGGGGGAGAGTCCAGCAACGGTGACGATGCTTCCAAAGTCCGGGGGGGGGAGAGGCCACCACTCTTGGGGGGGGTGTTGGGCCAAGCCGGGATCACGTATTTAGCAACTCCATGGTTCTGGGGCATTAGGGTGTTTTGTGTTCTCTGCGAGGCTTCAGGCTGAAGCTGGTGTTTAGGGTTGCGATATAATCCGATATAAGGGTGCATGCAAGTTAAGGGTTTCGGTTCAGGAGCCTAGGTATGCAGGTCTGCTGCTCACTCCGACTGCCAGCAGAACAGCAGCCTAAGCCAGATGTCGCGTCTGTCGGCCTGACACAACTCGGTAGCTTTCACCGGGCTGGGTTCCTGCTTGCTAAGAAGCTTCATGGTTGTGTCCCAAGTACTGGAAGCTTGTCATCTAGCTGTACACTATATCCCGTAAGCCCCAAAGTTTAACGCCCTAAACACTCGGTACTGCTGCTAAATAAGAAGACGGGCAAGCAGGCAGAGGATCCGCATGCGGGCAGCGGCAAGGAACCAAGACAGCTGACAATGCACGGTTGGCAACGTAAGTCACAAAGGCAACTTCGGTGTGGGTTCGACTTTGGTTCAGCATTAAATTGGTTTAGGCTGAGGTTTATGAAGCTTTAGGAAAATCATTGAGGGTTTGAACTAAGGCCTTCAGGGTCTAGTATTGTGCTCTTCAGTGCCAATGCATCATACCCCTTGAGCAGAGTCCTACGAACCATCCTTAGCCCTAAACCACAAACATCAACCTTTTCCTGGCTGCTGAGTGGCGTGTCCTTGGGGCTCTCCAGCAATTCACGCCTACACCTACAAGGACATACAAGCCCTAAAACTCCGGTCACATAAATAGTAGGTTACCAAAACCATATGGGAGTTTCCGAAAATAGGGGACCCTAATACAGTACCCTAAATAGTAGGACCCTTATTATAGGGACCCCAGAATAAGGTACCCCTAATTTTCGGAAACTTCCATATATTATGTACCCCAGTAGCCTGCTATTGAGGTAACTGGAGCCTTAGGGAAGGGCTTGACGGACAATGGCCAAGGCGCCAAGCAAGAGAACGTGGCTCTCTTGGGGTCCTTCTGCTCATCATCCTGGGATAGAGTTCCCGGTGGCTGCCACGCCTTTTCCTCCTCCACCCCACCCCCTGCGGCCGGCATGCAGCAACATCGTGGACAGCTATGCAGCGGAGGAGACCTGCCTGAAACACTATATATTGGGAGTTTCCGAAAATTCGGGGTACCTTATTTTGGGGACCTTACAATAAGAACCCTACTATTTAGGGGACTACATTAGGGTCCCCGATTTTCGGAAGCTCCGATATGTTTTCGTGTCGTGGTACGATGTGAGAGGATGTTGCGGGCCTCTGAGAGGCCTCTGTATTCGGTGCGCCCAAGATGAAGGCAACCTGGCCGACCCTTACAGAGTCCAGTTATGAAAGTTCGCGGAGACTGCTTTGGGCACCGTTTGTTCTTGGCGGTTGAATGACGCGAGCATCCCTGCGAAATCGGTATCTGCCCCTTTTGAGGTCAGGAGCAGCTTGCCAGTCGGAAACTATGTCATCCTTGACCCAAGTACCTGCATAGTCGCTTGCGGGGTAATACTGCTGATGGACAAAATCCTGCATTACCCTTTATAAGGAATATACCATAGTTCCCATAGTTTAGAGTCCTTAGGGTCATGCAGGATTTTGTCCATCAGCAGTATGGTCCTACAGCCCCTTAAATCCCCGAGCCCACATGCCTCGACCCTGCACCTCAGAGCCATAGGCCTTGCCAATTCAAGTTCATCCAAATCCTGCATGACCCATAATAATATAATGAGGAATATACCAGAATTCCTATGGTTTTGGGGTCCTTAAGGGAATGCAGGGGTTATATCATCAACAGAAGGGGTTTAATGTTCAGCATTTTGGATTTAGGGTTTAGCGCTGCGCCCAAAAACAGGTCACGACACAAATAGACTTACTTCCCGACCCATCGGCTCCATAGCAGTTCCTCGTTGGAGCTCATATTTAGAACCCTATAAGGTGATCCCCAAGAGGAACTACTATGGAGCCTATGGGTAAACCGGGAGTGCCAAGCGAGCTCAGCCTCCCAAATTTGAAACAGACACACCTAGAAGTTTCAGGTACAAGCAGCCCTGATGCATAACTCTCAACCCCGAACCCCTAAACGCCTAAACTTCTAAACTCCTAAACCCCTAAATCCCTAAACCTCTAAACTCCTAAACCCCCAAATCCCTCAATACCTCCAAAACCCCTAAACCCTAAAACGATTTCGGCAACTCCTACTTGGAGGGTCGGGGGACTTAGCAACTGGTTATTTTAGGGACTTATAAGTACCAGAACCTCAATTAGGGTCCCTTCTAGGGTACTTATATAAGTCTACTGACTACCTACCCGATCCTCCAAGTACCTGCTCGTTGAGCTAAGGCGCTCCTGCGGTTTCCTTTCGCGTAACGGCGCGGCCTCGGAAGACGAGCTTGGAGGTACTATAGGGGCCTTTAAAGGGAACCCTTAAGGGTTCCTTTAAGGGATCTTATAATGAGGGATCTATAGGGTTGAGGGTTTAGGATAGGGGCCCCAATAATTACCTATACTATTTTGGGACCTTATTCTAACTATTAAGGCCCCTCTGATATCGGATCTCTGGGGGTGCGTCATCCAGTTCATTAAGGGTCCATGTGCCCAAAAAGTGGATACTTTGGCCCCAAAATACCTCTATAAAGAAACACCCTAAACCCTAAACGCTAAGTTGTTCTTTTTCAGGGTTGCAAAAATCAGGGCTTTCCATTTTGAGGCTTCAGATCCATTCCCCTTCTCTTGCGGGGTTGTTGGCGGGGTTTCGGGTTGTATCGGGTATCGGGATTCATTGCTTAGGGTGCAAAGCTTTCAGGGTCTAGGCATTCCGAGTTTCAGGCACCAACCTTTAACAGAGCAAAGCGCTAACCTTTCACCAGGTAGATGAGCCTTCTCGAACCTCAGGACGTAGATGTTGTGATCCACATCTTTCTACGGGTGCTGTATCTGTTTTAGAGTTTGTCGGCGAAGAAGGGGCTTAGTGGTTTAGGGTCTATAAAGTCTCAGGAGAGTTTAGGACGGACTCGCGTAAGCCTTTCTGACCCGGAGGCGTTGCAAGCAGCTTTTGAATCTGAGCGTCCTGGGGGTTCACTCAAAGCTTGAAGTTTGAAGTTCTAGGCTTGACTAGCACATAGGTTTCAGGGTTTAGGGCTTGGGGTGAACGCATGCCTGGTTTGGGGCTTTCAGATGGAGGAGTTTCAAAAGTTTAGGAGGCGGCCACAATGCAACCATACGCTCTGATGTAAGGCTCCCCGAAAACTAAGCGGCAATCAGCTGCTGGCCCCGCCCCTCCCCGCAAGCGTCCAAGCCCCCAGTTATCAAATACTCTCAAAAATTGTGTAATAACCTACCTAGCTACTATCCCAAACCGAAGTACCTAGTTGTTGGATTCTTTTGGGGTATAGGATTCCTGGTTTGGGCTTCCCGGATCCGCGTTGAGGGCGTTCTGTGGCTTCGCATGCACTAATCACAGCACTGTGGCTCTCAGTCCATGAGCCCAGACCAGCAGCTGGCACCTTAAGGACGAAATGTACCCTAAAAGGGTTTAAGGTACATATACCATATAGGGATTCATAGTATATGGGTATAGGGCCCCTAACTTTAAGGGTCATTTGGTCCTTCTGGCATGTTATAAGGATCCAGAACACCCAACATTTTAGGCACTTGGGCGTAGGATAGCTCAGTATTTGGGTAGTTCTCCCTTTTTAGGTCCCCAAAGTAGTACGGCAACCTTACTACACTTGCACACTTAGGGGTCAATTACAATAACGAGCTTGATCTGCTAAATTAGTTGCATGTCTAAGAAGTTACTACTCGGACCTAGAGTAGGCCCTTATTCCCTTTTTCTAGGGTTCAGGTTCCCTTATAAGCCCCTTTAAACCAAAAAGGGCACCCTTTTTGTTCCTAGGCTACTCTTGGGTCTAGACTAAGAAGGTTACATTTAATGACGAGCGTTTAATTGCTCGAGTTAAGGCCCCAAGCACCGATTTTCGTTCTGGTTGACAGGCTTTGGGCGATTTGCAGACGGAGCAGCTAGAGGCTTGCAGCCTTGGTTTTGAGTTTACGCCTTGGTCCCTTTAAGGGCTTAGGGTTAAGCCCTTCAAGTTGGGTTTAGGGTTCAGGGTGTGGGGTTGGGGGTTAACGCCTAAACCCTAAACCGGGGTTGACTTAGCTCAAGCCTCAGGAAATCAAAGTTCAGCGCGATATCCATATCGGTCACCTGCTAAGTTCAGCAGCAACCGCATTCCACAACGACGAAATGTCATTGAAACTCGCACATGGTGAGGGTTTAGGTTTTTAGGAGCCGGGGCTGGCTGGACCCGATGTCTCAAACCGAGCTCAAGCTGTGGCGACAACAGCAGCAGCCCAGCAGGCAGCACCTTCGCCGCCGCCGACATTCAAAAACAACAGGGGTTGACGGTTCGGGGGTTGGCATTCTTTCCCAGCCATGTATGCACGGGAAGGTGCGAGCGAATCGGGTAGTTTGGTATCATCAGATCCTAGGACCGTTTCGGAGCATTGCTGCTCGACTTTAGCAGCATAGGTGACCCGAATACAGACCAAAATTATGTTAAGATTGTAACAGTCAGACTGCAAGATAGGGCTTAAGACCAGGAGGGATGTCGTGGCGTTGTGAGCAACACGACCCACCACAGCCCCAGCATAGCCGCCAAAGCCCAACGGCCATAGACAGCACGACCGAAGACCCTAGGAGCCGCCCAAGACTAGGTTTAGGGTTTTAGGGCTTAGGGTTTAGGGTTTAGGCTGTAATGTTTATGCGCACTATGAACCCTGCTTCGATGATATACTGCATCGAAACCTCATCTCTCGGCCTTTTTTTCCGTAACCTCTGTTGAATCCTTGTGGCTGGTTGTCAACATTAAGGTCCCTTTTTAGGTACCCTAAATAATCGGTGCCCTACTATAATAAGGTCCCCAAAAGGGGACCCTAATTTTGACTACCACCCTTGTAGAACCCCAGAGATTCGGAGCACGCTTCTCGAACACTGAAGCACTCTGCAGCCCTTTTTGGGTCCCTAATATATAGTACCCAAAAAGGGGCCATAATTTTGACAAACACCCATATGGGATGTTTAGGGGTTTAGGGTTTAGGGTTTCTTTCAAAATCTAAAACCCATAGCACCCATGGTTTTGAACCTCTAATCTCCACCCATAACACCCCTATACTTACAGAGCTAAACCTTGAGCATCTGTAAACCAAACCTATCCCCAAACCCTAAACCCTCATCCCAAAACCCTAGACCCTAAACCCTAATCCCTAGACCCTAATCCCTAAACCCTAAACCCTAAACCCTAAGCCTTGCAGGGCTTCCTTCGTCTTTTGCACTTCCCCTCGCCGGCGCGGCTGCAGCCGTCGCTGGAAGCCTTAGCATCCTCGGCGAAGGCCACCAATGGGTTAGTGGGGGTACGGGGGGACGGGGGACGGGGGGTTCAGGGTTTAGGGTTTAGGGTTTATAGGGTTCAGGGTTTTTAGGGTTCAGGGTTTAGGGGTCTCCAAAGAACCAAACAGGAGTTAGGTCACACTACACCCTGGACCGTGAAACCTGAACAGCCTCAAGTCGTAGGTAGTACTAGGGAGACCCCTTAGATTGGACCCTTTTCAACGCTACTTCTGGCTCTCTGAAACGGGGCCTTATTGAGATGGCAGTTTCCCTGGCAGCTGTCTTTTCGGGCTTGTAAATGTAGGCTTGGCAGCCGGTAGCCCCTGTCCTGCATAGAAGCCGTACGGGTAGACTAGTCCACCCAGAACCTGTCGGAGGCCGGCTCATCTGCAGAATCCCACTATAGAACCGTTTCTCTATACTCTTAACTCCAAACCCCAAACCTTAAACCGACCCTATATGGGAGTTTCCGAGAATAGGGGACCCAAATAAAGTACCCTGAATAGAAGGATCCTTATTATAAGGACCCCAACATAAGGTACCCCCAATGTCGGAAACTCCCATATCCTAACCCCCAAGCCCTAAAGGCTGAAACCAGAGGGTATGGGCCTTCCCTGCACATGTTCTTTGGCCTTGGAAGGAGGGTTCCATGCCAGACCCGGCCGAGTTGAAGCACTTCGTCTGCACGACCTGGAGAAAAATTTTGATGTCTTCAGGATTTAGGTGTATAGGGTTTATTGGTTCAGGATTTATGGGTTTTTGGGTTTAGGGGTTTAGTTTTTTCAGGCTTTTGGCGGATCTAGTGGTTGTTGTTTTTGAGGACTTGACGGTTACAGGCTGACAGCCTGCAACGGAAAGATGGGCTTACTTATCCTCTGGGGAGCTTGGGCAAGCACATGGTGTAGAGTCTACCCATAGGCCCCAAAGTAGTTCCTTTGTGGGATTACCTTCTTGGATTCTATATATGAACCCCGAAAAGGAACTACTTTGGGGCCTTAGGGTATGCAGATGGTCTGCAAAGCACTGTTCACAGCAGTTCATCATGTCGAGCTTTCCACATCCGGCAGGCGAGCCACACCCAAGAAAGCTGCGACTGCATGCCTTGATGTTAAGACCCTTGAAGAGACGTCATAAAGAGTTACATAACCGATGACCGAGATTTGATAGGACGTTAGCCCCAGATTGAAACCAGAAGGCCAGAAGACACTGATCCTAGCTGAAACGTTCCTGGACCTTGAATTCTAGGACTCAGGGTTGGGTTGCCCAAGGTCCGGCAATGTAGGGGATTGGGTACTTTCAGACCCTCGTCTCTAAGTGCAAAGCTGCAGAAACGAGATGACCAATCGAATGTAGAGGCCGAAAAATTGCATTTTGCCTGAAGCTTCCCTGTCGTACTTTTGATTTGAAAGCATAGCTTCATAACTTCCTTATCGTACGTTTTAAAGGGCTCTACTTATGAGAAGCACCCATTGTGCAAGCAAAGAAACACATGCCTGAATGTATGTGTACACATTTGTATGTTATATATTATATATATATATATACATGCATGGGCGTATGTATGGAATTATGTGTGTATGTAGGTATGTATGTATGTATGTATGTATCCACGTATCTGTCTTTCTATCTATCTATATCTACCCATCTAAGCATGACCACACAAATGACTAAGCAAGCACATGACTACATCTATATATGAATATAGTACATATATATATATATATATACACACGTATGACGAGTCGTACTCGAGCAGAATATATCGCGCTAGGCCGTGTGCATATATGGTATGTATTAGCATAATACCGATCCCTGCGCTTTCCGAGGAACCTCTTTGGCGAGGAGGGGGCTTCGACCTTTGTGCTTGATTTGAAACGTACGGGCACGCCAACCTCTTTCAAATACACGGAGACCCCAACACCCGTTCAACTACATTAGCCTTGCACGCATCCAGATGGTTGCATGGCTTTGGCTTGAGATGCCATGCTTTGTCAGTTATGCCGTCTATTTCGACTCATTGGGTGAAGTCCCGGGGCTTGGGTCACAGAGGGCATCCTGAATGTGATTCAGCACATGTTCCTTCCCCGGTGCTCCGGACCAGGCTCTGATCCCAAAAGATAACCCAAGGTACACTCGATATTTTGTCGGTTCTGGTCGTCTCTTGGGTTTACTCAAAGGGGAGAAGGAGGGACCCTTAATGGGGACCCCTACCCTATAATGGGCTATATAATAGCTATATGAAGGGTATATACCTAGGGGTCCTTATTAAGGGTCCCTCCTTTTGCCCTTGGATTGTCGGCTCTGGTCGTCTCTTGGGTTTACTCGATTTGGGATTTCTGGTCGGTAGAGCCGCAGGATTTATGGTTTCGGATCCATGGAGTTTTCGAATGTCCCTTAGGGTACTGACCAGTAGACAGGTAGCCGCAGGATTTATGGTGTAGGAACTAAGGAGTCTTCGAATGTTCCTTCAAGCCATAAGAAGAAGCCCGCTGAGTTTCGCAATACCTTTGCATCAAAGGAATTGAGCACTAAACCTTCCATTCTAAACCCCAAAGCCCTATAAACCCTAAAACCCTAAACTCTACATCCGGAAGCCCTGAAACCCTGAACCCTCTTAGGGCCCATTCAAAGGAACCCTACAATTATAATATACTACCCTTATAGATCTCTTATAGTAGCCCGGGCCAACTGCAGGACCTGAACATGTCTTCCTCGGAGAAGCTTTGTGCCATCCTCCGCCCGGCCCTCAGGGGTTCAGGGGTCTAGGGTTTTGGGTTTTACATTGAGGGTTTAGGGTTTTGGGTATGGGTTTTACAATTGGGGTCTAGGGTTTTGGGTGTAAAAGTTTAGGGTTTTGGGTATGGGTTTTACAATTAGGGTCTAGGGTTTTGGGTATTCAGTTTCAGTTTAGGGTTTAGAGTTTATGGTGTAGGGTTTAGAGTTCAGGGGCGGGCCTTCCAGTTCAGCGGAGTGTACCCAGGAGGGCGGCTTCCTCTTTGAATCGGGCATGGGGTGATTTTTGTTGTTGGGAGCTCATCCTGCGGCAAAACATCTCGTACCCAACTAAAACTTTCTTGAGCTAGACTGGATTCAGTGTGATTGCAAAAAGCTTCGCCATCTGTTCCTTGGGTTGCTGGAGCAGTGAGTCGGATGCGGTGAGGCACGTGTACTGTTCATGCCAATGCTGACGAGAGTTTCGTCAAAGCCTGTCAGATTATCATGGATGATGAAATATGATGAAGGATTGTGGCCCACCTCAATAGCATCAAAAACAAGTGCTGCATGGATCAGAGCCGAATTTCTGGACCAAAGTGCTACGCTAGACGGCTGAGCACAGCCAAATGACAAAATCCTTCACCAAGAAGCAGCAACAGTCCAATACCCTAGGCCAAAGCCCAAGAGCTCAAGTGCACAAGCTCAAAGGCTAAACCCTAGACTGTTCAACCCCCCCCACAATTCCCTAGGTCTCCAGTCACCTCAAAAGTAGGTTACTAACCATATATTATGTACCCCAGTACCCTACTATTAAGGTAACTGGAGCCCTAGCATTGCTATGAAGTTTAAACAGCTCTAGCCCGAACCCTGAACCTCAACGCATTTAGCTCCAAGCAACAAATCCTGAAGAGACAAACCCCAAGCCGTCACCCTGGCTACAAAACCCTGACCGCTCAATACCCCGAACTTTGTTCACCAAGTTCTAAACTTGCTACTTAGTCATTAGTCTCCAACCTTCGAACCTAAACTACTGCCTTTCGAACCCTCAACACTAAACTTTGTACTATATAATGAACCGCAAGCCCTACACCCTAACAAGCCGCAACTCACAATCATATTTTCCTAAACTGAGAGTTCCCAACCTTAAACAGCTTTTCAAGATCCAGCCAGCATCGAGGCCTGGATCCTCAGTATATTAGTATGCCCTTACAGACCCTAGGGCCATGTATTGACTCCATGATGCAGCTTTCCGCAGCACCATCGCCCAACGACTTCTTGCTCTACCGAAAGACCTCCACTTCACGTTGTAAGGCTAGGTTACAGATACACCAAAGTCCGATCTTAAACCCTTATATAGACACTCTTATAACAAGCCTCTATGGGAATGCTTTTTACGCAACCCTTAAAGGAACCCTAGTCATGCCCCTATACTACCCAGGGCTCGGTATGGGTGCGCGGAGTGGCCTCAAGCAGGCACGGGCTTTGCTGCAGTTTACGCTTCAGGGTTTAATGTAGGGTTAGGGGTTTAAGGCTCAGGATTTAGGGGATTCAGGGGTTATCGGGGTTAACGGATTCTGGTGTGGGGATGAGGGTTCTGCAGGTCTTACGGCCGAGGGTCGAGGGGTAAAACCGAAAACAACACCCTACAAAACCAAAAAACAAAACAAACGCAAACCCCTGATCAAGCCCGGAATCCCCGTAGTATAGCGGTCGAAATAGTTTGGAATGGTATCCCTTTGAAAGAGGCAGTTTTGCTCAGCAGTCTGAAGTGAGCCGTGGGATGCTGCGTGCAGTGAAGCCCCCTGCATCTGTACAGACGTTCTGGTTGAGGCCACTCCTGGTGAGTCTAGGGTTTAGGGTTTACTGGAGAGGGGTTGACGAGTGTGAACGAAGATGTCATTTTACCCTTCTCTAGGCTTTGGATCTGTAAGTTTACAAGGGCTTGAGGTTGTAAAACCCCATCCTCCACCCCTGCGGGTGGTTCCCGGTTGAAATCAAGCGATCGGAAACATACTGCGGCTTGGAGTATACATATTTTTATATATATATATATATATATATATATAGCGCGAATGAAGGGATAATGAAACTCTGGTTGCTTGAAAGCCCTAAACCCTGAACCCTCTAAACCCTAGATACAGTTTCTACCCCACTCAAGAAGTCGCTTCGAGTATGAAGAGCAAATTTTTGACGGGGGTAGGACCCTCAACAGACCTCAACTATAAACTCTGGGATACTTCCCTGAGGTCTTTATAGTGTGTAAGATCTCAGTTAGCCCTATACCCTTAAACCTAAATGCTAAACCCTTAACCCTAAACCCTATAAGTCCTAAACCCCTAAGCCCTAAATTCTTAAGCGCGACGAATCTGCCGCAGAGGCCTTGTCTCGCCCGTTGGCTCCATCGTGCGAGCCGCACTGCCAGCGGCCTACGAGTTTTAGGCTTTAAGGATTTTAGGGTTTAGGGTTTAGGGTTTTAGGGTTTTAGGGCTTAGGGTTTTAGGGTTTAAGGATTTTAGGGTGTAGGGTTTAGGGTTTAGGGTTTTAAGGTTTAGGGTTTTAGGGTTTAGGGTTTGGGGTTTTAGTGTTTAATGGTTTAGGGCCAATATGGGCCGATGCAGAGTGGAGGGTTTAGGGTTCAAGGTCCAGAACAGGGCTCAGGTTCATGTTACTGCTGATGGACAAAATCCTGCATGACCCTAAGGAATCTAAACTATGGGAACTATGGTATATTCCTTATAATGGGTAATGCAACATTTTGTCCATCAGCAGTATCGCGGGAGTTTACAAAGGAATCTCGAGGAGTAATTGCTCTTCCGACCCCTATAGCCCGAGAGACGTTGTAGTGAGGGCAAGCTGGAAACTACTCCTGCCCGGCCTTGCGTTACTTTCGCGGAGCTGCAGCTGTCGTAGCTGGAGGATCGATCCAGGATGTGGTAGGTACATTATTTATGGGCTGCCGCCACTGCCGCCGACCCCAAAAGAAGAGAGGTGACTATCCAAGGAACGCAGCAGGTGTTGAAAGCAGCCACTGCAAGTCTTGTAACTGGCACGAGTAGCATGAGCACATGACTGATGCGGCGAAGTATTCGGACTGACGCAGTGCTCAGCTCTCGGACATTGTGTGCGCATGTTTCAGCAACCTTGTGACTCAGAGGCAAAAGGCATCCGCACAAAACCGAGTTTAGCAGGAGGGCTGTATTCGATATGCTTAAGATACGGAACCAGTGCAGTTCTGGCCATGGGATGGTACGACAAAAAAAAGTCGCGCGCGCGGCGGCGCATCGCAAAGCCGGGGCGGGCAGTGAGGACAATAAAGGTAGTGAGGGCGGTGGGGGCGGTGTTGGCGGTGGGGGCGATCGGGGTGGTGGGGGCGGTGTGGGCGTAGGCGGTGGGGGCGGTGTGGCGGGCGGTGTGGGCGGTGGGGGCGGTGGGGGCGGTGTGGGCGGTTGGGCGGTGTGGGCGGTGGGGGCGGTGGGGGCGGTGTGGGCGGTGTGGGCGGTGGGGGCGGTGGGGGCGGTGTGGGCGCGGGGGGGTCCGGGTTGGCAGCCTTGAAATACTCTTTACTCTTTAAACACCTACAAATACAGCGGGCGGTGAGAGCGGTGGAGACGGTGTGGGCGCTTTAATTTTACTCTTTAATCTTTAAACACCTACAAATACAGCGGGCGGTGAGAGCGGTGGAGACGGTGGGAACGGTGAAAGCGGTGGAGGGGGATGAAGGTGGTGGGGGTGGTGAGGGCGGTGAGGGCGGTGTGGGCGGTGGGGGCGGTCGGTGTGGGCGGTGGGGGCGGTGGGGGCGGTGTGGGCGCGGGGGGGTCCGGGCACACATTGGCAGCCTTTAAGTACTCTTTACTCTTTAAACACCTACAAATACAGCGGGCGGTGAGAGCGGTGGAGACGGTGGGAACGGTGAAAGCGATGAAGGTGGTGCATGGGGGTGGTGAGGGCGGTGAGGGCGGTGTGGGCGGTGGGGGCGGTGTGGGCGGTGTGGGCGGTGGGGGCGGTGGGGGCGGTGTGGGCGCGGGGGGGGTCTGGGCACACATTGGCAGCCTTTATTACTCTTTACTCTTTAAACACCTACAAATACAGCGGGCGGTGAGAGCGGTGGAGACGGCGGGAACGGTGAAAGCGGTGGAGGGGGATGAAGGTGGTGGGGGTGGTGAGGGCGGTGAGGGCGGTGGGGGCGGTGTGGGCGGTGTGGGCGGTGGGGGCGGTGGGGGCGGTGGGGGGCGTGAAAGCGGTGGGAGGGGGATGAGGTGGGTGGTGTGGTTGTGTGAGGGCGGTGGGTGGTGGGGCGGGTGGGGCGGTGTGGGCGGGGGGCGGTGGGGGCGGTGGGGGCGGTGTGGGCGCGGGGGGTCCGGGCACACATTGGCAGCCTTTAAATACTCTTTACTCTTTAAACACCTACAAATACAGCGGGCGGTGAGAGCGGTGGAGACGGTGGGAACGGTGAAAGCGGTGGAGGGGGATGAAGGTGGTGGGGGGTGGTGAGGGCGGTGAGGGCGGTGTGGGCGGTGGGGGCGGTGTGGGCGGTGGGGGCGGTGTGGGCGCGGGGGGGTCCGGGCACACATTGGCAGCCTTTAAATACTCTTTACTCTTTAAACACCTACATATACAGCGGGCGGTGAGAGCGGTGGAGACGGTGGGAACGGTGAAAGCGGTGGAGGGGGATGAAGGTGGTGGGGGTGGTGAGGGCGGTGAGGGCGGTGTGGGCGGTGTGGGCGGTGGGGGCGGTGTGGGCGGTGTGGGCGCGGAGGGGTCCGGGCACACATTGGCAGCCTTTAAATACTCTTTACTCACTCTTTAAACACCTACAAATACAGCGGGCGGTGAGAGGGGTGGAGACGGTGGGAACGGTGAAAGCGGTGGAGGGGGATGAAGGTGGTGGGGGTGGTGACGGCGGTGAGGGCGGTGTGGGCGGTGGGGGCGGTGTGGGCGGTGGGGGCGCGGGGGGGTCCGGGCACACATCGGCAGCCTTTAAATACTCTTTTTAAACACCTACAAAAACAGCGGGCGGTGAGAGCGGTGGAGACGGTGGGAACGGTGAAAGCGGTGGAGGGGGATGAAGGTGGTGGGGGTGGTGAGGGCGGTGGGGGCGGTGTGGGCAGTGGGGGCGGTGTGGGCGGTGGGGGCGCGGGGAGGTCCGGGCACACATCGGCAGCTTTTAAATACGCTTTACTCTTTAAACACCTACGAGAGCGGTGGAGACGGTGGCAACGGTGAAAGCGGTGGAGGGGGATGAAGGTGGTGGGGGTGGTGAGGGCGGTGAGGGCGGTGTGGGCGGTGGGGGGTGTGGGCGGTGTGGGCGGTGTGGGCGCGGGGGGGTCCGGGCACACATTGGCAGCCTTTAAATATTTTTTACTCTTTAAACACCTACAAATACAGCGGGCGGTGAGAGCGGTGGAGACGGTGGGAACGGTGAAAGCGGTGGAGGGGGAGGTGGGGGTGGTGAGGGCGGTGAGGGCGGTGTGGGCGGTGGGGGCGGTGTGGGCGGTGTGGGTGGGCGGTGCGGACGGTGGGGGCGCGGGGGGGTCCGGGCACACATTGGAAGGCTTTAAATACTCTTTACTCTTTAAACACCTACAAATACAGCAGGCGGTGAGAGCGGTGGAGACGGTGGGAACGGTGAAAGCGGTGGAGGGGGATGAAGGTGGTGGGGGTGGTGAGGGCGGTGAGGGCGGTGTGGGCGGTGGGGGCGGTGTGGGCGGTGGGGGCGCGGGGGGGTCCGGGCACACATTGGCAGCCTTTAAATATACTCTTTACTCTTTAAACACCTACAAATACAGCGGGCAGTGAGAGCTGTGGAGACGGTGGGAACGGTGAAAGCGGTGGAGGGGGATGAAGGTGGTGGGGGTGGTGAGGGCGGTGAAGGCGGTGTGGGCGGTGGGGGCGGTGTGGGGCGGTGTGGGCGGTGTGGGCGGTGTGGGCGCGGGGGGGTCCGGGCACACATTGGCAGCCTTTAAATACTCTTTACTCTTTAAACACCTACAAGTACAGCGGGCGGTGAGAGCGGTGGAGACGGTGGGAACGGTGAAAGCGGTGGAGGGGGAGGGCGGTGAGGGCGGTGTGGGCGGTGGGGGCGGTGTGGGCGGTGTGGGCGGTGTGGGCGGTGGGGGTGCGGGGTGGTCCGGGCACACATCGGCAGGCTTTATAAATACTCTTTACTCTTTAAACACCTACAAATACAGTGGGCGGTGAGAGCGGTGGAGACGGTGGGAACGGTGAAAGCGGTGGAGGGGGATGAAGGTGGTGGGGGTGGTGAGGGCGGTGAGGGCGGTGGGGGCGGTGTGGGCGGTGTGGGCGGTGGGGGCGGTGGGGGCGGTGGGGGCGTGAAAGCGGTGGAGGGGGATGAAGGTGGTGTGGTTGGTGAGGGCGGTGGGTGGTGGGGGCGGTGTGGGCGGTGTGGGCGGTGTGGGCGGTGGGGGCGGTGGGGGCGGTGTGGGTGCGGGGGGGTCCGGGCACACATTGGCAGCCTTTAAATACTCTTTACTCTTTAAACACCTACATATACAGCGGGCGGTGAGAGCGGTGGAGACGGTGGGAACGGTGAAAGCGGTGGAGGGGGATGAAGGTGGTGGGGGTGGTGAGGGCGGTGAGGGCGGTGTGGGCGGTGGGGGCGGTGTGGGCGGTGGGGGCAGTGTGGGCGCGGGGGGGTCCGGGCACACATTGGCAGCCTTTAAATACTCTTTACTCTTTAAACACCTACAATACAGCGGGCAGTGAGAGCTGTGGAGACGGTGGGAACGGTGAAAGCGGTGGAGGGGGATGAAGGTGGTGGGGGTGGTGAGGGCGGTGAAGGCGGTGTGGGCGGTGGGGGCGGTGTGGGCGGTGGGGACGGTGTGGGCGGTGTGGGCGGTGTGGGCGCGGGGGGGCGGGCACACATTGGCAGCCTTTAAATACTCTTTACTCTTTAAACACCTACAAGTACAGCGGGCGGTGGAGACGGTGGGAACGGTGAAAGCGGTGGAGGGGGATGAAGGTGGTGGGGGTGGTGAGGGCGGTGAGGGCGGTGTGGGCGGTGGGGGCGGTGTGGGCGGTGTGGGCGGTGGGGGTGCGGGGTGGTCCGGGCACACATCGGCAGGCTTTAAATACTCTTTACTCTTTAAACACCTACAAATACAGCGGGCGGTGAGAGCGGTGGAGACGGTGGGAACGGTGAAAGCGGTGGAGGGGGATGAAGGTGGTGGGGGTGGTGAGGGCGGTGAGGGCGGTGTGGGCGGTGGGGGCGGTGTGGCGGTGTGGGCGGTGTGGGCGCGGGGGGGTCCGGGCACACATTGGCAGCCTTTAAATACTCTTTACTCTTTAAACACCTACGAGAGCGGTGGAGACGGTGGGAACGGTGAAAGCGGTGGAGGGGGATGAAGGTGGTGGGGGTGGTGAGGGCGGTGAGGGCGGTGTGGGCGGTGGGGGCGGTGTG